TCAGGTGTGGATTTGACAGCATGGCTGGCTGGGGAATGCTGGGAGTTCCAGGATTTTTTTCCCGTCTAAACATGGATAAGGATTGCACTGCAGTCAACCAAGAGCACAAACATAGGGTTGCAATCTTATACCCACATTCTTGAGAGCAAGCCCTACTGAACTGAATGGGACTTACTCCTGAGTAGACCAGAAGAATTCACAAGATTACTACATTTTCTGTGCTGTGAAACGCCCATGATGAATTCCTGTTTTCAAATTGGCTTTTACCCCTACTTTAATGAAGCAGCTTTTGGCAGCCCTGGTACCTAAAGCACTGAAGGCGGAGAGACTGAGCAAATTTTCCAGCCTTGTAGTCCTCCCCGTCCATCACGGAAGGAACCGTTTCTGTGTCCTGCACGATGACGGCCATTTCACTGTCTCGTTTCCCTAGCATGCTGCGGTCGTTGATGTTAGCAGAGCCTATTAGAGACACGGTATGGGAAGAAACACAGAAAATGCCGCACATGGTATGAATAAGTAACCACTTTTAAATGGCTCTAAGGACCATAAAAGCTCATTGCCATGTTTCGGATTGCCCTGTGGTGCACCCCAGCACAGATTATGACACATAATCAGGAGTGGTTTGGTCTGTAAGCAAAGCATTTCAAATTTAGTGATAGCAGTAAATGAATCTGCCACAGGGAAAAGAAATGCCATCGACCACTGGCTTGTTTATTCCAATTGTTTCAGTAGAATGCTTGGTCTTTGTAACATTTCTTTTATTTTTATTCTGACCTTTTAGACCAAGAGTAGGCCACATCTTGGATTCCTAGTCCAGCCCTTGGTTCCCCAGATAGCCAAAGCCCCTTCCCATAGCCTTACTGCTTTTCCCACAGCATCGATCATTTGCTGGTTTTCTGACTTCCATGCAGTTTTTCCCCATCCTAAAAGGTTGCGATGCTTCTTTTAAGGCAGGGAGAGATTTAAGCTAAAATATGCTTTTATCTTTGGGATTTGGGTCCTCTTGCCTTCAGCTCTATGTCCCATTGGAATATGATCGCCCCAAAACTGTCCCAAAATGGAATTTGAGCTTAGTGCTGAAAGAAACCTGTACCCTTGGGATCAGCACTTGTAAGGAGGGAAAAGTTTGAGGAAGCCAAGATCTCCTTCATGGGGTCAACCACACTGCTGCAAATACCTATACAATCTATTTTGCACGGTGAGCTGACTCATTCAGTATGAGCAAAGGGTGGCCACTTAAGCATTGTCAAAAAAAGACAAAATGCTTTACCAAAAAAGAGGATGGAAGGTGTCATCAGTGTGCATAATTTCAAAATACTGTTATTGAAACAGAAACAGAAGACAGAAATAAAAGCTGAAGGCAGACCTTTGGCATGTCAAGCTTATCTGATGGGTGGGGTGCCATTGCCTGTTATTGTGTTTTCAATAGTAGATTTTATGTACAAATACAAATTCAATGCATTTTAGTATTGCTTTACTCTTGCTTTTTTATTTATCTATGATTCTTTGTGACCTTGACTGCTATTTTCTCAGATGAAAGTTGGGGTATGACTCAAATAATAAATACCTATATAAATGTCACTGTAATGGGGAGGCTGACTGGGGGATCTGAATGCTTGCTTGGTCTGCCATTGAAGTGCTGAGTGTGTAACTCCAAGGGCCTCCCTGTTTCTTTTCCATTTTTATTGATCTTTAAACTTGCATAGCCAATCAAATCCAGAACGGTCTGCCAGCTCTCCCAAGAACTGCCCTTTGTGAAGTAGAACATTTGGCCACTCTAATGGACAGCAATACTTCTGTCGTACTACCTTCAGCCTTCATGTAAACTATTAGACCCCATTAGTTCTCCAACCAGTTCCAAACTCTTCCTCTGCTAGCAGTCAGAAAAGAACTGACTGAATCCCCTCTGACAATTCATGCAAATTCTGGAGCTGATTGATATGAATGCCTTCTGAACATTATCCATTGCTTTCACATTAATGAAACAACAGAGGCTGGTAAAGGTTGGCAGCTGAAGATTTGTTAAGACAGCCTTATGTCTAAGGTTCTTCCTAAGATAAAGAATCAAACCCCCATAAAAACAGCCAATAACAAAATGGAGAAAAAGAGTGTAACACCACATGCTTCATAAACTCTGGAGTACAAGAGAAGGTTAAACAATTCTCAGTCCAAATCACAAAAATATTCAGTGTTTAATGTCTCTGGTAGCTCCGAGCTGTTTTTGAGAGCAATACAACTGCACTGAAGTGTGGCGACAGTGAAATGTCTGCTATGCAGATCCTCTCTGCAGAAGTTGCAGCATGTGGAATTTTGTGGCGGTTGTGAACGTTGCCATTGTGAGACAGTGAACCTTCCTGGGTAAAGAGGATGTGGTGGACAAGTGCTGCCTAGTATTGTAAGTTAAGCATCCTATGATTCTAGCAACAAGGAAGAATACTTCATTCTGTTTGGTGTCTTCATCCCCTCCTCGAACCCTTCCTTGGGCTGTTTCTCCTTTTTCTTTAGAGCTTTAGGGAAGGGGCAAGTATGCATTCGAGGACCTCTCTGTTTCAGAAAGCCTGCCCTATCAAACTCCAAGCTCCCTGGCTCACTTCTCCTTTTTCCCGCTTTCCTTCATTGGGTGGGATGGCTCTGTCCAGTTAAATTTTGACCAACCTTGCAGCCAAGACCAGTTGGGCACTCCAGAGGGCTACCATGTTGTGGAGGTGCTCTTCAGCTCAGATTATTTGAGAAGAATCTGGAAGCTGGTGCTAGGGGCTAGTCTAGATCATCCTTGCCCAAGGACCAAAGAAGAGGTTACTTTGGAGTTATGTATAAAACTTTCTGAATGTTAATTAATATATTAAAAACAGCTGTGGGAGATTGCAGCTGATGACTGTGTTATGCACCTCTGTGTCTTTTTCACAGGAAAGGGACAAGCCGTTTAGCTCAACCAAATTTAATAATAAAATAAGCAGGCTATGTTGGAGGCCAGGAATGACTTGATTGTTTTGCAGTTCTGGATTGTCTACCATACAACAGTATGCAAAGAACTTTCTTAACAATACCAAGGGTAAGAAAACTGTGGGGGGAGGCACTTGTATTCTAAAAGTGTACAAAGATAGAGGTGGCCTTTTCAACCTCTTGAGCAGAAAGGGGAAAAATAAGAAAGTGAAGGCCTTTTTCTTGATGTATTGCACACCCTATCCCAGTCTCTTGGAAACAAAACTGTTGGAGCACACATATTGGCAGAAAGCATCCAGATTTCATGGCAAATCTATTCTTCGAGGAGCAGATGACAAAGTGCTGAAGCATTGAGACAAATCCTAAAATTTATACAAGCCAGATGGACCTGGTTCTCTACAGAAAACCTTCACAGCAAAGGGCCAGTGGAAATTTCTTTTATCAACCAGTTTTTCCTTTGTATTGCATCAAATTGTGACGAGTCCAATAATCAAACCAGAGTAGTTCACTTATGTTAATAGTGCTGTGCCTTCCTTTTGCCTGACATACCTGTAGCAGTGTATTAGAAATAGAACAGGAGGCAGGCTTAGCTGGATTTGGTAACATGCAGCTATAGAAAGGAAACTGTTCATACTGACTGAGGGAGCTTGGCCTGGAAGTCCCTTGGCTAAAAGAACTATCACCATAGGATTTTTTTATGTAATGGAATCGGGTCTCCTTTGGGCCTAGATATGAAGGGCTTTAGGCACGGTGAAAAAGAGCTCAGCTTTCCAACTAGTTCAGAAGGTCCAGAAAATCGGAACGGCATCCAACTCATCTGTCTCTTTCTCCAGAGACTTTCCATGCTCCAGTTTGTTCCCAGATGGATTGAAAACCCTATGCAAACTTCCCTGGGCCAGGCCAGTAGATTCCTGGACTCCTGCTAACAACAGCAGTATTTCAGAACATCTGGACTGAGTCACTCCCTTTGCTCCAAGGCAGGGGCCATGGCTCAGAGGTAAGAGCACCTGGTTGGTTTACTAGAAGTTCTAAGTTCAGTCCCTGGCATCTCCAGGTAGGATTGGAAAAACACCTGCCTGACACCAAACCCTACCATCATACAGTTCTGGGGCTAAATTGGCTAGCTCAGGATAAGGGAGCATCCTATGTTCCTAACTGAAAATTGCCTCAAAGGTTGCTTCCCTGGTTTTTGACTTCCTTTGGCTCTTGCCTGGTCTTTATACTGTGCATTCTCCGGACTGTATTTCCAAAAAAGGAAGACATGATTTTACTATGCCCTTAATGATGGGCTGGCGGGTAGGGCGATGGAGCACCCAGAATGTTATGGGCATGCACAAAGTGACTGCAGTGCGTACAAGCATGCATGCAAGTGTGCGTGCATGCAGGTACATGCCTGCAAGTCATTCTGGTGGATGGGATGTGTGGGTGTTGTGAGGCCACAACTCACGTCTCCAATTAACTCACACAGCAGTCAGCAATAAAACTAAGGACTTTTATTGCTATTTACTACAAGATTTACGATGCAACAGATAAGCTCTGGCAATGAGCTCCTAGCAGCTCAGTTGCCCCCTCCTTTCTGAACTAAGAAGGAGAAAATCATGTGGACCTCAATCTCCTCTCACGTCTTTCTGTCCGTGGGTGGGACAGACTTCTCTCCTGCTGTTCCAATTGGTCTGGCCTCCGCAATCTTCTCCAGAGTTGGGCGTTCCATAAATTTCCTGTTACGTCTTCCTGTTCTCCAGGACTCTGCCCAGCAGCTTCAGAGTCTGGAGGCGGGTGGGCAACTTGTTCAAACACCTCGGAGTCTAGAGGAAGGGAAGCTGCACTCTGCTCCAACAACACAGAGCTAGGGTGTGGGGAGGCTACTCGCTCGGAAGCCTCAGAGTCGGGCTGCTAAGGGGCTGTTTGGGCCCTGGGTTCCAATGCCTGACCCTCACTGTGAGCTTCTGGCCCTCTCTCGCATGCCAACGCCTCTGTCGAGCCATAAGGCACGACAGTGGGAGAGAGCAAGAAAAAGGAAGTGGGTGCTTTCATTTGACATTAGGCTAGACATTGTTGTGTCTACTGAAAAGCATCTGGATGGATTTTGGTCTGTCTGAAAAGAAATGAGATTGCAATCCCACTCCATCCCACCTCACTTCAAGCACTGGGCATGGGTAAATAGTGGAGAAGATTGGGATGCATAAAGAAATAACTCTAAAAATGATTACATCCCCCCTTGTTGCTTTGCACAGGGCTAAATATCGGCCTGCCCTGTCACGTGGAGGTCGTGGAGATGCAACCCATTTGGGCTCCACCTAGAGCGGAGCCTTCAGTGTACTCATTCACCTCTGTGGAACTCCCTGTGTGTTGACCTTATGTAGGCATTGATGTTTGGGCTTTTGTGCCTGATTAAATCATTTTTATTTAAACAAATAAGATTTCACTGATTGGCTAGCCACTGCTTTATCGACATAGTAAATGTGTTCATTTTGTATTTTCATTCCAGCTTCTCACTCTTTATTGTTCACCTCTCTGGAAACTAATTTCATATGAAACAGTGTACTTCTTGTAATATAGTGCTTTTTCTAAGTCTAGTACAGTTGGATGGGATTGTTCTCCTACATCTGTTGAATTTGTTCCCCTAATTTTCTGGAGTAAATCAAAAGAGAATGACTCAGAATGTTGTCTTATGACTTATATAACTAGATTACAACTTTTCACTTTTATTTGTTGTACTTCCCTGATCAATTTTAGGCAGCTCATACATACATGCATGCATGCAAAACAACAACAACCCCTGCTCCCAGTATACTGAATATTTTCCCCAAGGGAAAAACAATCATGTTTGCAAACCGGAAAGTTGTTTGTTAAATCTGTCTTGCATGCTTGGGATTTGAACTATCTTCATTCGACTCTGTGCAACCAGGGCCAATGTTTTGCTTACAATTTTACTGCAATACTAGTTATTTCTCCCCTCAGAAATGAATGTCAGATGAGTGGACACTAGATAAGAAAACAGAATGAGGGTAAATGAGGCCAAGACCTTTTTATTTAAAAGTTATTTTAATTGTTAATTTATTGATCGTATTTATTGGGTTTTTGTGTATGTGCTGAGAAATTTCCGGATTTTTAAGGCTAATTATATAATTGTTTATTTATGTTGTAAGCCGCCCCGAGGCTTTTTGCGAATGGGGCAGCATAGAAATGGTTTAAATAAATAAATAAATAAATGGGAGAAACTCTGCTATAATCCACTGTATTTCAGATCTTCATGGTCTATTGTCAGGGCAATTCAGGACAAAGCAGCTTTCAGATTTGAATGTGCTGGCCCTTTGGCCTTCTTGTTGGTTTCTAAATATGAGATCAACCTTTGGCCTAGCTGCCAGCCTCAGGCCTGCTATCTCGTGGGGCAGTGTTTGCTGTCTCAGCCACAGACAGCTGGGATATCACAAGACCGTCTGCCTCATCCATCCCTCTTACAAAGCCACAATGCTGTGGTGATGGCCACAGAGTTCTGACGGCTTCACAAGGCTGTTAGCCAAGTACATGGAGGAAGCGGGGAGAACCACAAAACAGCTGAGTGAGGTCTGAATAGGCTCAGTGGTGACAGGATGGTGAATGAACGCTGCAGTGGCAGTAAGGGGATGGAGAACCAGGGATCCTGAGCAAGAGTTCTGTACTGCAACGTTTTGTTGCAAGTGCCACGTCTCTGTGGCTATGGGTCATGAAGATTTATGGAAGTTTCAAGCTCAGAGGACTATGCCTTCACGTAGCAGGTACTGAGGACCAACAACTGGACAGAGTGCCTGCTTTCATCTCCTGAATGGGAAACGTGAGAGGGGTTTTTCATCTCACCCAGCAGGGCTTTTCTGCTGATCTTATGGCAAGATAGTAACATGCAACTTGGAGCTATCACATCCTGATCCCAAATGTTTGCACAGCTATACAGATGGTTTGATTTTTTTAAGGTGCAATCCTATGCATGGTTAGACAGAAAAACATCCTACAACTTTCAGCATTCCAGGGCCAGCATGCTGTTGAAGCCAATCCTGCTAGTTGAGGGACTTTTTCTGTTTAGCCATGCATAGCATTATGCCTTGAGATGTCTTTCTCAAAAATGCCTCACAGCTTCTTTCAGCAGGGTTCAAGACAAATAACACAGGGAAAGCGACTTTATTCTCACGTCAGCTTTGGGGATGCTGCTTTGGCTGAGCACTGCACGTTCTAAGATCGGACCCTCCACAATCTAGCCAGGCATTTTTAATTTGAGATACTGAACAAACACACTCTTTAACAAATTTGGCACTTACCAATGATGACTGTGTTGTCATCAGCAATCATCAGCTTACTGTGAACGTAGATTAGCTCTGTGACAAGCTTCCCATCCAGCTCAGCATAGTTTCGAAGCCCACAGAAGGAGATGTAATTAATCCACTGGTCTCCCACTGAAGGAAACGATGCGGGGGTGGGGTGGGGTGTTAAAAAAGAGACAAGAACAGAAGGGCTTTAGGAATGAGAAGTGGGACAAATAATCTGCTGGGCTTAAGTTACAAAAGGTTCTGCTTGATTATTTGGGGAAAGGTTTTGATAAGAATAGCAAATCATCAGTGGAACCAATGACCTAGTGCCTGAGGATCTTTTCAAAGGTCTTCAGACTGAGAGGGGTAAGCCTTCTGTAGGGATTGTTCAAGTTCTGGACCTCCTTTGTCAAACAGGAGGTTAGACTAGGTGGTGAACCACCCAGAATTCTTGAGAAATTGAGTGATAAAAATAAACGATTTAATAAATCAATGGGCTGCTGTTAATTTGTCTGTCTTTAGCTAGTTTAGGCCACTGGCTTTATTTAAGGAGTGTCACTGCTACTAATTGGTTTCAGGACCGAACACCTTAGCAGGTGGACTAATGTGTCAAGGCCTATAGCAGCCTTCCTCAACTCGGACTCCCCCTAGAGGCTTTGGACCACAACTCCCATCAGTCCCATCCAGCATGGCCAATGATCATAGAAGATGTGGACCAAAACATATGGAGGAAACCAGTTTGGGAAGCTGGCGTACTGCTTACCTACAACTCACAACTGATCTAGACCAAAGAGAAAAGTGGTAAGTCATGGTTGTTCAGAAGGGCTAGCAGTTCCAGCTTACTCACCTGATTCCACATGATTTAGCCTAGATAATCCACTTGGTGCAATGGTATCAAGTTAAAAACAAATGCACGCAGGAAGGATAATTCACTTTGAACTGTATCCAAAGGGATGCTGAAAACTGCAGCTTTATTCTGTTTTGTCAGACACCCAGATGTTGTTTTGTTAGCCTGTTTCCTCTATTTTGAAGATCTCCTTGACATAATTGAGGCCTCCTGCGCTACTGGTTATACAATCCAGCAATTACGCCTGCTAACGTGTGCTTTATAGCGTATCAATCAAAGTTTAGTGTCCTCGAGGCCCAACAGCGAGCAGCACGCACAGAGCAAAGCAAAGCACTTACTCTCGGCTTTCAGCTGTCCCATGATCGAATTATCTCCTCTGCACATGGTCCTGGAAGAATTAAGACCACAATTAAACTCAGCAAACAGCAGCACGTGAACAAGTTTACAAGGATGGAGCTAATTAAAATCACCAGATACATTCATCTATGAAATGATGATAGGCAACACAAGTGACTCAATACCAAAGGCTGCACTGAGGGGGGAAGAGGGTGAGAAGGGGAAAACCATCTGACAGGGTTGATTTTGGAGATAACAGTGAAGGTGCAAGCATGGCAAGAGCACATTTATGCTTTGATGGCTTCATGGGATCAGCCACTTGAGGCCCCAGAGGCAAGTCTGGCTTTCTGATCAGCACTGATCAAGTTGTGGACCCAAAACCTAGAGCAAAGTTTGGAGAACATGGTAGCCACTTACTAATCATTGACCTGGAAATTTGGGGGTGAGGGGAGAAGCTGACCCACTATCCTCTCTTCCTTCCTCATAGGAAACTTCTTCTTATATTACTTCCATGTATATAATCCCTTATCTGCAAAAAGTCATCAAGACGGTGCACAGCCAGTGGAAAATCGAGGTGGGGAAGCTCTGCCCAGTAGACCAAATTTGGCCCACCAGACCAATCAATTCTATGCTGCTGAGAAAGTAAGAGGGAAGCAAAGCCAGTGTATTGGCTGGCTTGGTTCCCCAGGAGGGGCTCTTAATTGTGGCAGGGGAACCCCCACAAGGAGCTGCGAAGTTTTCTTGATTGAGGCAGTGACTAGGGAGTGGTTGCTTTGGCTAGAGACCTCATGTGCAGAAAGAAACAGAGGCATGCAATGTCAGCCCTGGTATGGGGCCAGATTAAAGTCTTCATAGGCTCCAGCCACTCTCCCAATCCTAGGCTCACAACACAGATCTATAGATAGATATTTACATATCTATACATCCCAAAATCATACATCTATGCACAGAAGATATACACAATGTATGTGTTACCTTGGACTAGTGGGGCTCAGTCCTGGAAAATTCTAACCTCCAAGATATCCCCCAGAATTGCCAGATATTCTTGCAAATTCCCAACTTTTCATTCAAACAAACTAGATCTTTCCTGTTCTCCAGGCATGGATGGTTGCCACCCATAACGCCTACATAGCAGATTTAACCAGAAATGTTGCTGTGATGGTCCAGAGAAGTGCTATCCCTTGTCTACAGGAGCGGGGAAATTGTCAGGTAGTTTTCTCACCACCATTGTGTCATTAGGAGAGCACATGTGGCTGCGACCATGCTGAACAACATTTGGCTGCTCTAAGCTTGGAAGCATTGTCTAGCCATTAGCCAACCAGAATGCTGCTGTTTCATCTACAGGGAGGTACAGAGCAAGGGAATGAGAATCTGGAATTGTTGATGCTTTTGATGAAGCCAGCACGGACAATACTGCTTTGGATGGAGTGCTGGTAACAAATTTTGCACACAGTCCTTCTATCTTATAACATGTAAACCTATGCTTGAGATTGGCAAATGAAAAGCAACATGTCTCACATTCAGTGAAGGGTTTAGGGCACAATCCTATGCAAAAGACCAAAGGAATAAAAATTAAAAACAGCCCATGAGTTGTAGACTTTTTTCGGCATAGAACCCATGATGCAGGTCCTTTCTGACCTACAACTTCAGCCTACGACTAAAGGCATAGGATTGAGCCTTTAGCTACCTCGTGCCTTTAGCTACCTATATCCAGTGATGAATGACTTCTAGAGCAAAGAGCCCTATCCATCAAAGCCCATTTATAGATGATTTTTAATTATTATTATTGTGCTCACAGACATATGCAGACAGGAAATGAGTGACAGGCATTATTATTCCTCAAATAAGTGACAAGTTGGTGACAAGTGTCATTTTTTCAGCAGAAGGGATCTTGCCATTTTGGGAACTAGCTGTGAAGGGACACTCTTTTTCCAATTTGAAATGTATGAAGAACTGTCATAGGTCAACAGTGGGAAGAAAATGACTGTTTTCACTTGCACTACTCTCAGTTGTAAGTACTTACAACAAGCAAGCACAAGATCCAATCTGTGATTTTGCTAAGAAAATGAGTCACAAAGTTAATGTTTAATATTATACCTGTATGCATAAGCTACGAAATCAAACAATAATTTGCTTCAGTGATTCAGTTCCAAACATTTTGGTAGGTACTTGGTAGTTCTGCAGATACTATATATTGCACATAGTAGAAACTAACCCCTGCCTATGTGTGGCCAACAGTACAATTGACCTAGCCTGGTATGAAGGACTAGAAACTTGGCTATCAACTGAGCTCTGGGACTTTGGGAAGGAGAATGAAGATTCCAGGTCTGGAATCAGGCTTGGCTATTCGTGAGTGAGTTTGCATGTCATACTAAGCCACTGTGGGCAGATGGCATGGTTTTTACTCCCTGGCAGCTTGCTGTGCTTTGTTTCTCCTTTAATCCTCCAGGTTGATACCAGCACCTATCCCAGAAACCTCATTTGCTACCCCAGCACCCTTTCTGTAATTCGTCTGCTAAGGTTGCTGGCTCATGAAGAAAACTCCCCTTCCCCACAACAGTTCACCAAAGGGATGTAAGTTTTGATTTCTTATGAAACTGGAAACACATTTACAAAGTCAAAAAATGTATTTTAGGGAGTTTGCAGAAGTGTGCCGGCCTGCATATCCCATTGCCCACGACTGAGGCCAGCACTGGAAGTTAGTTGTGACTTGGCTTCATTCCCTCTGATTGCAGTGCAAGCCATGTGCAAATACTAACATGGATCCAAGCCATTATATTTGGCTTTACTATAGAAAGGCACCATTACCCAGCAGCTGAAAAAAGCCAAGTGCGCATGCAATGACAAAAAACCTGGAGGAGGAGCAGGAAGATGAAACTGACCATCCTCTAACCACAGCACGATCGCTTTGGTGCTTAACCACTAGATAATACGTTCAAGAAGTATGACACCCAAATGTATTTCACTCTTATCTTATCTTCTGCAGGTGATAAGATGTGGGGAGGCTGGTACCAGAGTTAGAGTGCAATCTTGTGCAAGTTCTGGGAGAAACAACTCCCACAACTAGTGGCATGGCTGGAGTTTTTTTCCTGTTTAATCATGGATAGGATTGCACTTTTAAGTGGTTTATTGTCTGTGCAACCCTGAATGCCTGCGAGAAGGGGGAGCTGCTGAGCTATGCCACCTCCAGTGTGGCGGTATGCAGAATCCTGTAATCTGAAGAGGTGGAACAGCATAGTGACTGAAAGCCAAGCTGCAGCATTCCTGGTTGAAATCTCCCCCGTGTCAGGAAGTCATTAGATCAGCCTTACCCAACTTGGTGCCTTCCACATGTGTTAAAGTACAGTTTCCAGCATCTCCAGACAGAATGGGGAATGCTGGGAGTTTTGCTCCAGCACTTCTGGAAGATATCTGGTTGGGGAAAGTAGATGGCTTTCTGTCATACATGGGCAATGTGTGGTCCTCTGGATATTGTCAAACTCTAGCATAACCAATGGCGGGGGATGATGGGAGCTGCTGTTTGACAGCACCCAGAGCACTGTAGAATCTTCACCGGTTTTGTGTATACCACAGCCTTGGTCCTCCAGCTGCAGCACAGTTGTGGTAATAATGGCCTTCCCTACAAGTGTTCTGTGAGGATTGTGAACACTGGGCACTCTCGACACTCAACTGTGCTACCCAAATGTTAAGGTATAATCACAAGTACAGCAATTATTATCTCGCAGGGTTGGGTGATAGAAAGGATCTGGTTTCCATCTGGTCTCACAAAGCTTGTAACTTGTGCCTGTTTGCCTAGACTCAACTTTGAGCCCATGAGATCAACTGGCTGCAGCTCAACTGTGCAGTTTCCTTCAGCCCTTCCAAGCCACCAGCCCTGTCACAAATTTACAGGGGGTAAGATGGTGGCACCCCACCATTTCCTCTTTCTGCTCACTCAGATTGGGCTTGTTGGTCCATTGGTATGATTTGTGCCTAGAGTGTACAGTTTAGATTATAGAAAAGTCCTGCCTGCAGGAATTGGATGGTTGTACCTTTGCAGATATCAAAGCATCGATGGTGGGGCACCTGCTTCCACGCAGATCTTAGGTTGAATCTGTGTCATTTCCAGTTAAGGCATCTTAACTGGTTATGTGTCAACTGCAATTAAGGCATCTCCAATCCATGGCCTGCTACCCATCAGGGAGTAGGGGATGGGGAAAGATGAGGCTCACTGGGCAAACAGTCTAGCCTAAATTAAGGCAAATCCTAAATCATAATGTTTGTAGGCAGCCCTAAGAAGTGAGTCAGGCAAGGAGGTTTCCAGACACGGCATGACCCTTGCAAATGCTCCATATTGTTTGGATTACTCTGCAAGGGCAACGAGGGAACAAGCTACATGTATGAGTCACTTTCAGCACATCATGCCATATAAGTCAAATCCTGGCGTGCAAACAAAACTGAGAAGGAAAATGCTGTTTTAGGCAGTATGAGCAGAATGGTGTGCTCCATTGTGTTCATGCTTTAAACTATAGTTTCTTGTTTGCTGCAGCCTGGTAAAGAAAGAAGGACTGAAAGAAAATGGCAAAATAAGGGAAGGAAGCTTAATTTTTTAAAGTCTATGAGCAAAAGTGCCCCTTCAGATCTTCTTGGCAAGGCACAACACAAAACTCTGTGCTCCCTCTGCTGACGATTTGATAGAACTACACAATGAATGATTTGAGTTGACTAGGAAATAAGAAACAAGGTTCCAAGGAAGTTGTCCAAGGACACTTTTGTGTGGCTTCCTCTCTTCCCCTTCAAACCCCTCCTTAACCTCTTGCCATTTCTGTAAAGACTTCCATGTGGACAGATTCTGCAAACAGGACTTGTGTGTGCTCCAGCATCTGCACTGCATCCTTTCCCCATTATTGCTTCCCATGTTGTCAAAAATTTGTATCATAGACTCCCTGAAGCAGAAGCCTAGCTTTTCAAAACCTTATGTTTCTCTGTAAATTGCCACATGCATCATACCCTAAGTAAATGAACCCCATAATCATAGCAGTGATTTCAACTTAAAGGTAAGAACCACTCTGCCATTTCCATGTGTCTAAGAGAGCTTAGAGATTGCATTTCTTGAAGTGCAATCTCCCATGCAGCCCCTTTTGCAACTATAACAGTTTATGGTGCCAGTTTACAGAATGGCACAACAATAATCTTTTCCCAGTAGAAAAGTCCTAAGGGGATGTTCCACCAGACTACACTTTGCTGAGGTTCCCCTAAAAAAAACCCTCCAGCTCACAGGCCTAACTCACCTGCAGCACCTGTCTACCTGCAGCCCTAAGGCTGCTTGGAGTCACAGTGGTGGCTTCACCTACCCAGCGATCTCTCCCTAAAGGGAGAAGGTGCAGTGTGCGTGCAGCTACTTTGCTGAATGTGGTCACTGCCATCAGAGAATGCTTCCGTGCCACAAAGGCTGGTTCCTGCTCAGTGCAACAGGTCACCCTCCCAGTGTTCCTGCTGGGAATCAAATGATCTCAAGGGGCAAATGATATTCTCCTTATTCCGGTCTGCACTAATTATGGCACTGGCCTTGGTTCAGATCAGCTTTTTGGATCCAGGAACAAAGCATACACCAGAAATCTCCTTTGTCTTTCTGTCCGTGGGGCTTGGCAGAAGGGTGGCGCTGACCTCAACTCTCAGAACGTAAGGAAAGCCATCCTGGATCAGGCCAAGGTTCCATCTAGCCCAGCATCTGCTCACACAGTGGCCAATGAGCAGCCTATGGGAAAGCCATCAACAGGGCAGGACTGGTACCATCTCCATGACTTTGCCCAATCCTCTTTTGAAGCCATCCAAAATGGTGGCCACAACTTCTTGTGGAAGCGAATTCAATCATTTGACTATGCGCTACTCAGATTCCCTTCAATAAAACACCACTACCCAGAGCAGAGAATAAAAGAACCTCCAAAGTCTGGATCATCCAGCATACCTGTAGTTAAAGTGCATGATTGCCTGCAGTGCGTTTCCTCCTCCTGTAGAGATATCCCCTTCAAATCCTGGAAGCAGGGGGATTACTATGTAGACTCGGTATCGTTTATTTTCCCTGAAAGGAAAAGACAAGACTGGGGAGTCAGTATAGCTGTGATGTTATTGTTACAAAACAAAGCAAAACAGAAGAAGGTTCAGAAAGCTTTTTCAGCTTATACATGCCAAACTTCTTCAGCCTGTTTAACTGGTTTTCACATTCATGTAAAACCCAGATAACTTGGTAATTGTTTGCTGATTTGGTAAGTCAGACAGGTATCAACAGTTCAATCAGAACACAGGGAGATGATGATACATCAGTATAAAAATGTGTGTGCATATATCTGTGCATGCACACACCAACACACACATCTCTATTTGTTATATAATGCTAGTGTTAGAGTAATATATAGGAATAGAGAATAATAAAAATAGTGACCCACTCAGAGGTGACTTTCAATGACTGCAGCCTCCATAGTTCAATGATCGCAGCCTCCCAAGCCACCAGAAAAGGAGACTGTATGAATCTTTGAGAGGCCGGCAAAGCATTCATGAATGGTCCATTACCAAATCCCATTCCTCTTCAACTGGCACAAGAAAAATGTATTCATGGCAGGTTTAAATAGATTTACATCGCTATCACCCATCCCTAGAGAAGCCCAGATTTTTTTTCCCCCTGTGTGAGGCTGTACATGGTCCTAGAAAAAGCCAAGTGCCCACAATTCCCTAAGCGCTTCAGAGGAATTAATGACAGCTCAAGAGGTATAAATATAACCTTGCAATCTAGATCTGCCCTTCATGCGCAAGTCCGGAACCTTCGCACACCTCTGGATGTTTGTAAACCCTAACAAAACTATACAAAGAAGTGAATCTGCCCTGCAGCAAATGGTCAAGACTTGCATTCTGATTGGAAGCCTTCTTCTCCCTTTGACCACATATTTGTTTCTATTCCAGCTGACAAATGATTATCATGCAGGCCTGCCAATTTCTGCACTGTTTCATTTCCAGAGATGCCCTTGAGTCTCCCTAATTCTTTATTTAAAAAAAAATCAGTAAGTTGCCAAACAATTACATCATACCTAATTAGAATTCATATGGAGTCTGACTTTCTAGTTACCCATAGTAAAATTCAAGGGCGTTAACAAGGAATAATTCTTGTTTGGTTGCATGCCAAAGAAGAAAGAAATGGCCACTAGGTGGTGAGCATCACAGGATTTGTATAAAGCCACTGAGATTTTTGTGGTGTAAACAATTCTAACTAGGAAAATACGTCACTTTGTAGCTATCACTTCTAGGACTAGGACAAGAGCAAACACCCAGGTCTGTAGTTAGCATTAGGCATGTGAGATGGAAATGAGAGTTGTGCCATCTTTTACTGCAAAGCTGCAATTCCAGCAATTTGAACGCAACTGAAATGTGGCATGTATTTCTCCATCATAAGATGTTATCACCAGGGCACAAGGTAGATCCTGCAAGTCACAGGTAAGTTTAGTGGCATACCCAGGTGAATTGTGAGCAAGGTGATGATGCTTGCCATGAGAGGTGATGATGGATTGCATTGCAGAGTCGCTTTTGCATATCCAAGACCTTGGAAACAGGCATTCCCAAGCAATTTCCCAAGGGCTACTATGGCTCTAATCCTTATAACCACCTGTCTGGGAGCAAGTCCCATTGTACGGGATTGTACTGTCTGTGTTTGGGTGGGCAGCCTGGCCCTCGGATGACATGCAACCTCCCGTCTCATTTCTCTCTGCAAGTAATCAGCCCACACCTCTGACACGAGGGATCCATCCTTCCCCCACAGGCTGCTGGGTCAGAAGGAAGATGGAGAAATGAGGGGGGAAGGAGGAGGCAGCAAGAGAAAATGGTGGCACAGAGACAGGAAAAGGGCATGTCAGAAAGAGAGAGAGGTGGGTGTCAGAAAGGAGAGAATGCAAGCAAAGGAGCAACAGCAAGAGAAAGAGGGGATGTCAGAAAGAAAGAGTGTGAGCAAAGTGGGGTCAGCAAGAGAATAAATGAGAGAGAAAAGGAGCAAGAGGAGAGAAAACAGTTTTACAGAGAGGGTGAAAAGTGGACTGTCAAACAGTGTGTGAGAGAAAAGGGAGAGAAGAAGGAAGCAGAGAAGGGCTTGGTGCTGTCCACCACTGGCTTTGGCTCCACTCACTGCAGGCATGTGCCACTTGATCCTCAAGGTAATGGGACCCTCAGCAGCAAAACCGGGTTCCCCACCCCTAGAGGGGGTCCATGAGATTAGCAGTGAAAAGAAGTCTCACTGTCTGCATCAAATGCACAGCTCTGTAAAACCAGAAGGTAGGTGTGCAATGAAAGGACACAGCCTTGTTTCTATTTTCAATGCAGTGCAACTGGAATAAGTGTAATCATGTGTACACACACACTCACACACACAGAGCCATGCTTTAAATTAAAGGTGTCATCTGTAAAAGGCAGGGCAGATTGTTTGGAAGTATGGGATATTAATTATTGATACTTGCCAAAAATAATTAGAAAAATAAATCCGTGAGAAACAACCTATTTTCATTACAAGACAGCACAGCTTGCTCATGAAAAAAAAATTGACAGTCAGAAAATCTGTCCATGTAAAGGGGCAATGCAAGCTTATTAATTATATACATCTTATATGGTCTAAAGAACAAAGAAGTGCATATACTTGAATGAAAAACTCCATCAAATCCCCCCATTAGGATTTAAATATTTATGCAGGAGTGGATCCTTCTTCTGTGTGAGACCCAGAAGATGAAAGATTTCAAGATAATATGATTTGATTCACTGCCTCCTCCCAGCTGAAGCCATCCCCAAGCATTTTATAGTAGTGGGGATTTCGAAGCATTACGACTGATTCACTACAATCCAGAGAATGAGATCTATATACAGCTGCTGCTTCTCACTTTATGAATCAAGGTCCTGGGGACACCATGGAGGACTGAAGTGTGCAACTACATTATCCTGCATACCGGTGCGCAGATTCTGCACATCTGTATGCATGTCTAACACAATCTCTTTCCTCCATGCCAGGAACCATTGCATTGAACTCCAGTCCCTCCCATTCTTCTCTGATGAGAATATCAGACTTGGCACTGCCACCTTGGCACTGGCGCTGCTACTGCTATCAGACCAAAAGAGATAATCCATCGATGGTGTGTGGGGAAATCTTGAAGTGTTGATGCCTTACGAAAGCACCTATAGCCATATCCCCAAAAAGAGTTCAGAAATGCAAGCAGATGCACTGAGGAGCTGGTTTCAGGAGCTTTCATACACTAGAAGCGGGGCTTTGGGTTTTTAGGCTGAAACTGAAAACACTTTGCAAGGAACAGTATACTGCTGCTAGGAAAATCTGCTTCTTGTCTGTTTCTGTGTGGATTAGAGTTAGACAAAGAGGGAACAGGGAAGACCGAGGGGAAGAACAAAGGATACCAGCATCCCTGCTATGGAAAAGGACCGTGACTTCATCCCTGCAAGCCCAGGCTCTGTTACACCACCACATTTTGGGCCAGGTTATATAAACTGCAGGTTCAAGCTTCACCAGGAACTTCCATGATGGGCTTTATGGTCCCATTACAGTGCCTCATTCATTCTTACACAGGTCATCATGCATGTGTAAGCTTCCTGCATTTTCCCTAGTGTGACTTCCACATTTTGTTTTCCTTACCAGAAATAATCTATGCAGGGAGAAAGGATTGATAGCTGCATAATGCTTTTTTGAGTAGGAGTGCTAACAGTCATCTACCTGTTGCTCTGGATTAGAGTCTACGGGCCCAAGAATATGCTGCAATCGGTAAGAGCCATGCAGCAAGGGAAAAGTTCATTTCCAAAAGTGGAGCCCTCAAGGGCAGGTGGCAGGTTAACTCTTATTCTCCATTGTCTGTGAACTGAGTTGCATGCATAACTTTCTCTCATATGAATGAATGGAGGAAAACAATATCTGCATTTGGGGATACTGTTGTGATAGAGAACCCTAAAGATCCCCCTGCACATTAAGTGCAGAGATGCACTGTGTGTTTGGCTCTCAGATGGACCCCAAGGGAAGCATATTTCCAGGGCTGGCATGAAGGGCACTAGGTGACACCCCATGCCCAAGCAAGGGCCTGCTCCAGGAACCCCGTGGAACGGCTCTTTTTCTTCCCCAGGACATCCTGCTGGCTCATCTGCCTCTCACTCTGGTCTGGACAATGGAGGAGATGAGGAATAGCAAAAAATGCTACCACTTGCTTTCTGCCAGCAAGCAAGGACATCACAGCAGTGATGAGAAGGTAGATGAGGCAGAACTATGGCTGGTGACCATAGCAGTGAGAAGGATTCCTGGCCCAGGGAGTGGGCCTATTGAGGGTGTCTTGTCAAGGGCCCTTCAGAACCTGTCACTGGCCCTGTATACCCCCCACTCCCTACCTATCACACTGATGGGCATTTTGGTCATTGATAAAGAATATGGGTTATGACAAGGGAATCAAGTATAACAGCCCAGTTTTGCATTCTGCTATTTAACACAGACCTGCGTTTCTTGGCGAATGGGGCGGCATAGAAATTTTTAAATAAATAAATAATAAATAAGTTATACGAAGAAGGGCCAGTCTAGATTTCAGGCCTCTTTGGGAAGAATCCAACTGGACATCTGAGAGCCGAACTGCTGAAGCCCCAGCGGTTCTCCCCAACACTCACCAATTGTGCAATGGTGCTATAGAACTTCCAAGGCAAGGCAAAGCAAGTGGAAAGTAGTTTCTAGAAGGAGGCTGGCTGGCGAAACTCACATAAGGGAGCTCCGCCACCCTGCCTCCTTCCAGAAGTGAGCACTTCTGCTTGTCTTGGGGCTTCCTTAAGGAAGCACTAAGTCAGTGTTGTATGCTGTACGTTTCACATGGACAATGGAATTAGAGGGGAAAAAAGAACTGGTCAGGGCATAAGCCACCGTGGCTTAGTGGTTACAGCACTGGACTGGGACTCAGGAGATCTGGATTCTGGTCCCCACTCTGCCATGGGGCATGCTGAATGCTATTGGGTCAGTCATGGCCTCTCAGCCTCGCATGGTTGTTGTTACGAGGGCAAGGTTGAGAGGAGAAGCTCAAGTCACCTTCAGCTCCTTGCAGGAGGAAGAAAGGCAAGATATGAATGGATGGATGATGATGATAATGATGATGATGAAGTTGGTGGCCCCAGTGGATTCTGCCCAGGGTCAGGTGAGCTGCAGGAAATGACTGGGAGGCTAGGAGCTGGCAGAGAGGCAATCTGGCACAGTATCTGCATCGCCTGAATCACAGTGCCATGAAGCGAAAGATATCCTCTCTCTGCAGTCACACACACAAAGTGCTCCATTCTGCACCATGGAAACCCAAGGCCTGCAATTAGAATTATGCAAATGTGTGCACATTTGCATAATTTGTTCTGCTAACAAGATCAGGTTTTTTTTGGCTGGAATGCTTTCAGCCAGGAATGAGAAACAGGTAAGCTAGAGAGACAGAGACCAGGGAACAGCGGATGCAGGAGAAGCTGACAGAGCAGTGTGACGACCCATGAGTTGCAACCAGATGGTAACCAGCACTGCCGGCCTGGTTCTGCCCGACGCTTGAACACGGGTACCAGGGCCAAGCAATGAGTCACATGGAGATAAACCTGCGGGCTGGTTGCTGGGTTTCTGCACTTGTCGGGGCACACTGCATTTGATGGGCAGTGACAGCACTGGATGATAGAGTGCTTAATCCCTCCTCCCACAGCTTTTTCCTGAACTAAATCCCTTTCACCCACCCTGAACCTGCTGTTAGTCACACAGGAGGGAGAGATTGCATATTACCTGCATTGCTTTCCCTCCCCAGAGGGCTAGCAGCCGCTTCAGTGGGGAGTGGATGGGAAAAAACAACACAGGAAGCTGTGCAACACCCACGCACCTTCAATCAAATCACCTGCATGGAGCCCCCATGACTGCATAAGAAAACAAAGCAAAGGACAGGTGATCCAGCCACCGTGGGTGCAGCTTGTCAGGACTGTGCAAGTAAAATCTCTACTTGCTGAAATTCCCTTTTGGATGCAGCTAAGATGCAGACATACTCTTTTGCCTTGGCTTGCCTCCTCTGTCTGCCTCATATACAACACCCACCCTGACAAAACAAGAGAAAAGAAAAGGTGGCAGCTGACCTTAGCTTGCAGTATGACCCGTTAATGAAGCCTTCCCCAGGGATGCTGGCTGGGGGATTCTGGGAGTTGTAATCCAACATACCTGGAGGGCATCAGGGTGAGGAAAGCTACACTAATGGGTCCCACCCCTCCGGCTGAATGTGTTGTAGTGTTCTAGAAGACATTCATTCTTCTCACTGGTCTATTTCCATTTGTCCTTTCCTACAGTTCAAATTAATGCACACATTAACTAAATCATCGTGGAGTATGGAATGCATGAACTCTTTTGAGCAATGACACAGGGCAAATCTACAATTACTATCTTCTGGAACACAGAAGATTGGGTTCAGTTAGCACACTGAACCCCAAACTATGGTTGAGTTTATTGTTTGGTGCATTTGCTTTTTGCTTCTTTTTAAGAATATCTGGTAAAAGAATACCAAGTAGCCCTCATTGCCTGACTGATATGGCTGTTACTGACATTGTTATTCATTGCTGCTGCTGCTTTAGTAGTATGTTTAATGAACTTTGTGCATTTTAGATTACAGATATTGGGACTTGAGGTGTCTACAGAAGCCACCTTGTAGGGGCTATTTAAAAGCAGAGGGTCAGATCATCTTTCACCCAGAGGGTTGAATTCTGCCTCAGAGATCTCCTGGGACAGTGGGGGGGGGGGAGAGCCAGAGAGAAAGGGACAAGTGCCAAGAACAAACATACCAGCGTATTTAGGCATAATGCTCTCACTGCCGAGTAAGCCTTTGGGGGACATTGCAGCTTTTTAGAATGGGTGGGGGAAAAAGGTGCACCAACTTGGGAAACCACAAAATGATCGGCCATTGGTGAACAGTGTAAGGGGCAGGTGAGAGGGGGGTGGTTTACTGGGGAATGCCACTCCCAGAGAGCCAGACTGGGACCCCAGGGCCAATGCTCTGCAGCTCTGTTCTAAAAACTGGCACAGGGAATTTGAATGAACAAGCAAATAAATCATGAGTCGATCAAAGCTGAGTCCAGTTTGTAATTCTTAGCAACCAGATTAGCCTGTGTACTGCCTTGGAGCTCTGCCTGGGGGCTTCCCAGGGTTGGCCATAGTGGGAAACGTCCTGCTGGACTAGATGGGGGATTGGTTCTTCTTTTAATCATATAACCGAAAGCGATCAGTGGCTGCCAAAGCAGAGCGGCCATTGCAGGTAAAACCATGGTGAGACCCAGCTGCACTGAGCCTAATAATTGGGTAAATAACACTGTGGCACGCAATACCATATCCTTGCCTTTGCCAACCTGGATCCTCCAAAAACACCAGGATCCCAACTCCCAGTATTCCTATGGTCATGTTAGCTGGGAAGAGTGGGAGTTGTAGTCTAACGTATTTGGGGGAAAGCCAGCTTGGGAAAAAGTGTGATACATACCCACCTGGAAGGAGACCCAACCCAGCTCAATGCAATGGGACATACTTCTCAATATAGGATTGCACTGCAAACAGTTCATTTATGCCCTGCTCTGCTTTCCATGGAGCACTCAAAGCATAAGAAATATAAAGCTTGCCCTTTTTCTCTCTTTCTGTCTCTCGTCAACAAGCAACAAGCACACATTAAAAAACAGAAAATGGTTGCTTTCGAGGTGAACGTAACAAATCAAAAAGCAACAATCAGAAACAAAGCACACGAATTGGCAGCAGGAAGACTATGTTCAAGAGATAAGGATGAAGCCAGTCCAGTTGGATGCTGAAAGGTTTTGTCAGCAAGCCCTCAAAATCAGCCCTCCCACAACCACCTCATGAAAACCTCACAGTCTTATTTACAGTAATGCTCCAGTTGTAGATGAATGATGTTCGCGCTTAATGACTGCACCACTTGCAATACAAGCATGCCTTTTGGAAACGTTGGCCAACAGTAAATATCCTCCATCACTTTTCAGAGACAAGGTCTAGCAATGCTACCACGACCCACATATTAATCATACTAGAATTCCCCAACGTGCCAAGAGCTTTTATTCTCTTCATTTAAAAGCCAGCCACTTCCCATCTAGAAATCACCAGCCTCACGCACCACTGGCTTAAATTATTAAACAAACAGAAATGCAGGAATTCACAGTTGTCCTCAGACACTTAGAAGCAGGAGATGAGCAATGGCAATGAATGGACAATATCAACTTTGTCCCCAGAGTAAGAAATGCAAAAACTATATGGGTTGAATTCATTTTATAGGTCACATTCTGCCCTTAGTGTAAACTCAGTTTTCACCACGGTATGTATTATAGAGACAGGCCAACATGTTACAATGTTTGGGATAAATGCAGCAGTGGGGTGGTGGTGGGGGAGGAAGGTACAGACAACATGGTAACCCATAGTCAAGGGCTGACTGTGGATTATCCTTGAACCACTGGTTGTTGCTAAAGCATGGCTTATCTTGTTGTCTGAACCCAGCCTGCTAACAAACCATGCTTTGTTAACCACAAACAAATCCATGAAGAGAACCCAGGATTTGTTGTTGGATTGTGAGCTATCAGTTGTTCATGGTTAATATAGCATGGCTTGTTAGCATTCTTCATTCATACAACATAATACTCTATGGCTCCACAACAACCCACACTTAGCCCATATTCAACCCTTATATGTCTGAACCCAGGGGTATAATAGCTCTGGTTGGAGGTGAACTAAAACAAAAATAGTAGTGCACACTTAAAATTTAGGTTGTTTCAATGGCAGAGCTGGAACACAGAATGAAGGCCCATGGAGCCAGCCTGGCCTGACTAATGTCTCAGTCCAGGTCTCTTGGGTTCCCAGATGACCATGTTCCCTTTGTCCAAACCTCCAATAATTTGGTGGTTTCACAGCTTTTGCCCTACAGAGCTTTTCCAAGATTGAACTTGGCACTGTGGTGGGACATGTTTGACAAGCCTGCCATGCTGTAACAGAATTATTTCTGGACTGAATGCATCCCTAGCATTGGCCAAAACGAGCAGACAAGAATGTCCCTCATTGTGATGCGGCAGAATTTCAATTGGTACATTCAGAGTACAAAGGCATGATGGCAGGTTAGAGAGGGCAGGGCAGCAGACAACCTTCCTTTTGTAACACCCCCCTCACCTGAAAAACTGGAAAGGCCCCCTCATCTTGGGCAGTATGACTGGCCATTTTTCACATTTGCTTGCGTCTCTAACTCCCCATCCTTGAAATTACTGAGCCAACCAGAGATAAACTATTTTACGATTGTATCCAGGGCACCTGGCTGTAGCTGTGAGCACGGTTACCTGTGGGCCTTGAGAATTCGGTGTGCAATGGCATCTCCAATCCGGTTGCATACCACTTTGTCATCAGCGCAGCTAATAAAAAACTGGTTCTACAGTGTGAGAAAGCAGAACAGAAAGAAGATGAACACATGCAGGCCATCAATAAAGTGGATAATTACCAAAGTTCTCCAACATATAACATCCACTCAGACAGCACTTCTCAAACTAGGAGTCTTGAGGTTCTCTGGTATTTATCTCGAGTATCTTGATGAAAAGATCAGCAAAGGCAGAAAAGCTCTCCTGGAAGACAGTTTTGCCAATTCATCATCAGCAACTTCTCCCTCTGGTGCTCAGACTCACGGAGGCAGGGAGCACATTTCAGGTGGGTGCCATCTGTGGGAGGCACTGACAGACTCTGGCCAGTGCATTGCACAAACAGAGAATGGAACCTGGCATTAATCCTAGAATCCTCTACAACAGAAACGTGTTGCAGAAAAATCAATGTGGAAAGGATTCCCCAGGAGAAGGGAATTTGGAAGTCACTATGCTGAGGTATAAGGGTGCAACACAGAGAAAATGAAGCAGAGATAAGTCCTAATGAAACCAATAAGATCTGAGTATTTAACCGTGCACTTTACCCATTGACTTAAAGGTTCATGCTTGCTCTGAATTTCACCCAGAGGACCAATATACCCAATGTTTCACATAAATATGTAAAGGAAGAACAGTTTCTTAATGGTAACACATTACAATAATGAAAGAGTGCCCGTATTTGCATATGTGAAGGAAATAATTAGCTGTAACTCATATCATACTTTCAAGGTTCCCAGTTTTTCAGTGCACAAGAAAAAAGGGGGTTGTACGAGAAGAGCGCAATCCACCATGAACTGCTTTTGCAAATGTATGGCATTTCTAATGCGGCTTCTGCAAAGGATGTATTAGTGATGGGCGAGAAGCAGCCCATGACTGGTCTCCAGGGTCTTGCCATCTGGCTTATCAATGATGCCCTCAGTTCCAGGGATGCTCTTCACTGAGCATGTGAAGCATCCTCTGCCATGCGAGTTGAGCCAAAAGCCCTATTTTCACTTCTTCCACATTTCAGCTGTGTGCATGGTCATGCTGGTGTCCCCACCCATGCTCAACTGATCCTTCTCCTAATCAAAGATGTGCATTAAGCCAAAGGTGAGAGCAGTTTGCATGAAACATAAAACACCAGGTTTACAGGGCAGAGGCTTCAAACCTCACTTAGTCAAGGGCCACATTAAATTTCTGAGGACACATACTACTGTGTAGGAACTGAAGCAAAGGGGTTAAGGGTAAAGTGTTCAACTGCTTGGCATACTTCATCTTAAAAGAGCAATTCTACAATCCCTAGACATCATCTGGGGCAGTCTGGATTTAAGGATCCAGTCAGAAATAAAACTCCAGGTTCCAACCTCAGAACTGAAACTCTGATCCCCTTCCCCCTCTGGAAAGAGGCACACCAGCTGCTCCTCTGAGCATGGAGTGGCTTTGGAGAAGGGGGTAAAAGGGGCAGTTTGCTGGGAAGGAGACTGGGGCTGCCTACCTGAATTGGTAAAAGGGTAAAGCTCTTCACTGGATACTCATAAGCTTGTAGGTTTGGAGGCTTACAAGCATGGAGGGTGCAATGGATAGGACTGCACCCTAAAGCTCTTGCTGTCAATAACCTTAAGAAAAGCATTTCAACTGTTTAGAACAGGAAGAAAAAGCAAAAGCCAGGAAACTACCAAAGGGAAAGGAGGCAGGAACTAACTAGGGCTAGTGAGCCCTGCAGGGCTAGCTTTGGTCTGAGGTGTGACACACCCGTGTTAAAAGGCAGAACATTTCTGTATTTTACCACCTGCAGAGCACCATTTTCTGCCCCAGGCTCCAGATAGGTCTTTTGTCAAGTCCAGTAAAAGAAGCGCTCTACCAAACATACCAGTGCTATTCAATGGGAGCATATGTCTTCAGGGAGAAATCATTACAAAAATGATCCAGGGTTTGGAAACACTGTCCTATGAGGAAAGACCAAGAGAACTGGGCATGTTCAGCCTTGAGAAGAGAAGACTGGGGGAGGGGGGACACGACATGATATCCCTCTAAAAGTACCTCAAAGGCTGTCACAAAGAGGAAGGTCAAGGTCCCTTCTTGCTGATGCCAGAGTGCAGGACACAAAATAATCAATTTAAGTTGTGACAACCCAGATTCAGGCTGGGCATCAGGAAAAGCTTCTCACCAGCTGCCTAGAGAGGTGGTGGGCCCTCCCACACTAGAGACATTCAAAAAGAAACTGGACAGCCACCTGAGTGGGATGGTGTAACATGGTGTCCTGCAACAGCAGCAGCTTAGACTGGATGGCTTTCATGGTCCCTTCCAACTCTACTATTCTATGATTCTAGGAGCCATTAATCCACATCTCAGTTTGGCACTCAGCAGACAAATCTGGTCTTGCTTATACCTCCATTAAAATTGGGATAGATAAAGAACTGGCACTCCAAGAAACTTCAAGACAAACATTAAAATGCCCCAATGACCTGAGAAGTTTTTATTTTACTTTCTAAAAGGTCAATTCATTCATGCTAGGATTTTTTCCCCAGCTAATTTCCAACAGTTCTAACAGAGACTGCACCCAGGTGAGAATTCTACGCTTTGCCTCCTGCTACTTTCCCCCATACCAGCCCCATACCCATGCAGAGCAACTACTTGCCTCTATGTATAAGTAGTGTTTGCTGTTTTCTATCACACTAACATAAGCAGCATGGATGGATTCCTCATGGTATTTGATCCCAGCAGACCAGTCAGCAGCAGAGCGGAGGACCTAAAATGGAGAGAATGGTTTTTATTTCCTAAATATTCATGGAAGAGTTTGCACCTCCCTGCGATAGTTGAAAAAACTGAATTCTATTCTTGTTTTGCTAACTCAGACCTATTTCCTAGAGAAATCACACCACAGTTTCTTTTGCTTCCCTGAAACTGAACCGGGGTTCTTTCAAAGCATTACCTGGAGAAGCTGCAGATTTCTCCCAGTGATGCAACAGCCTCACAGGAATATTCTACTTGGCTGAAGTCTCCCTTCAGTGAGGTTCTTAAAACCACAGAAGTCCTTCCAGGATTTGGCCCTAGCAACTCTGTTGTTCAGAGAATCCTGAACATGGCTATAGCTCCCATCACCTGAGTGGGATGATAGGAGTTGTAGTTCAACATATCTGGAGGATGCCGAGTTGCAAAATGCTGATCATACACCTCTGCGTGATATAATGCTCCACCTCTCTTGTCACCCACTGTTCCCAGTTGTTCACGGAGCCATTCATTTTTTCACAATAGCCAAGATGGTCATGCTATATATATCTTAAGGTACATAAATCAAAGTCAAGCTGGCAAAAATAAACTATAATCCAAGTGGCTGGTGAAATTACAGCATTTACTTGTAAAATTGTGATTCACCGCTTGAGTGGCTATTTGATTACATAATCTGTCAAATAGCTAATATTTGCATATTAAGAAATGCTGCTTATTTTCTGAGAGACTGACATGCATAATGTTCAATCCAATAAACAAAAATTGCTATTTCGGTTGGAAGGCAAGGTCATTGGCATTATTTTCCTTTCATTTCCTGCTGCTGTAACACACTAGAAACAAAATAGCTGCAAAACAGTGTGCCCCTAACTGAAGCATCTCTTATGTACGTATATCCATTAGATGAAGCTTGCAGTCCTGATGCCAGCCAACAACAGGCCACTGTTTCTGCCACTCATATTCATCTGAATATAATCCACTTCCTGCTTCTCAGTTAAAAAGGGTCTTATGATTGAGCAGACATCGGAGAAGGAAGCCTGCTAATGTGACTGTAGCTTGGAAAGTTCCTCAGCTGGCAGTATGAACGACTACACTGCCAGAGTATTTGGAGCTGGAACAAATGTTGTGTTCAAGGAATAATTTCCTAGACAAACCCAGCCCAGAAAATGCCTAGAAGATGCCTGCAATTTCCTGAAATACCTTTACCAACTTACTATTCAGCTAATTTTGCAGAGAGTTTAGCTTCCCTTGGAATGATGGTGAAAAGGTTGCTGTGAATTTCTGGTTCTTAACATTCGAAGTTGGGAGTCCTAGTCCACCGCCTTATAGACTAGCATTTTCTCCTGACTGGTTGGGTGAAACGCTTGCCATGACATATGCTTTTCATGCAGTTACTTAGGGCTCATTCTCATATTAGATTTCATATTAGATTACCTTCAGAGGCACTGAAGTACTTGCATACATCACGTGCATATGTACTTGCAGTCCAGAAAAACATTACATGAGAGGACTACACAGATATCTTGCAAGAAAAGAAGACCCTTGGCTTATATCAAAGCACATAAAAGGTTTAGCATATTACAAGTAAGGCATGTAACAGTTAAAAATGAAATGGATGAATGAAAATTTGAACTGGATGGGGTCCATTATATTTTGTTTTTTACTCCATTGCCAACAACAAATTCATTGAGGAACGAATGGGTACATTTTTTGTCCCTCATTCCTATCATTTGGCAGGATCACCAACTACGGTAAGCAGGACTGGGCCCACACCCCAGTACAGCCCACTTAACGAGAGTGCTCCAGACTGGTTCCTCTTCCTTAGCATTGTAGTCAACTTGCTTCTCACCCAGGCGATGGTGGTGGTAAGTTGGGGAAGGAGACTTCTTGCTCTCCAGCACGATGTCTGTCACAGTAATGATGAAAAAAGGGACGTAGGGCAATAGCTTCCAGTGACAACGCAGTGAGACAGCAGACTTCCAGGGGAAGGTCCCCACAGAGGGTGACTTGTCTATTGGCTCCCAAAAATCTAGAGGCAACTTCATTGCTTAAAGTGGCTTATTTGCTTCTCACCAGCTGCTTTCTCATGGCCCTCTTTTCATTACCCACAATGCCCTACAGGTGGCACTGTTCTGAAGAATTGTGAGTAAATAGAATGGTATCTGAAATGTGGAACAGGGTGTTTTTTATGTTGTCTGCTAAGTTTTTCCTACAGTGCATTTGAATGCAATACCCAGCTCACTGTGGGTAAATGCAATCATTACTACAAAATATAGGCACACTAATATTTTCAAGCATTCTCCATCCTGCCATAAGGACTAGTAACACAGGCTATGATTTTCAGGGCAGTAAATCCTGTTGCACTCCATGGGCTTCCCTGTGAGTCCACACGCTTAGGACCACTCTATTCTGAGGCTTGGGTTTTCAAGATTTTTAATCAAGATTCTCCAGGGTAAAAGAAAAAAACAAGTGGAGAGAATATTATTCACAATATCTCCTGATATATCAAGAACTTAGGGCCATCTGTTAAATGAAAGTGATATTTGATCTAGCAGTTTGTGGCAGTTTCAATTTAAGAAATGTTTTACGAGGCTGAAGCTAACCTCCAGGCAGGAAGGCAATTATAAATGCTCTGTGTCAAACACAACTCTTACCTGCACCTTGGCAGAAATGGATTCAGGGACCTGGTACTTCAATTCATCAGCTGTCTTCTGAGATTTTGGCAACAGGAATGGGTAGGAAAGGGATCTGTATTTAGATTTCATGATCTGGGGGGTTATACAGAATAAAATAGGTGGTCAGACTTGTACGTATTCTGTTTAATATCATATTTGAATCCTGCAATGCTGTAGTGTTATGGACAATACTAAATTTAAGGTACCGGGACTGAAAACGCTGTGAACTGCCCAGAGAGCTTCAGCCATGGGCAGTACAGAAATGTAATGTAAGAGTAAGAAGGAGGAGGAGGAAACTGAAACATTTTATTTGATTGTGTTCATCTTTTCTTCTTCTTGTTTCCTCTTCATGTTGTTTAGACTTTGTTTTGAAACATTTAACAAAACAGTTTTTTAAAAAAATACCTCAGCTGCAATTCTATGTACATTTTTCTGGGAGTAACCTCCATTGAGTTACTCTCTAATTCTCTCTACAGTGAGAATTACTCTCAGTAACATACAGAGGATTGTAAGGCACATTTCAGAGAATTACCATGTAATGCAGAGAATTACCAAAACCAAGTTTAAAATTACTGTGGGAGAAATACACACACACACAACGCTCAATGATTTTTTACTCGCTCTCAGCTTTTGGAAATGTTCAAAATGCAGATTTTTGTGGGGGCCAGCACCAAACAAACAAACAAACATTTATTTATTTGGTCCTCCCCCCTCTTTTTAAGAACTCAAAGCAGCTTACATAATTGTTGCCTCCTAAACTCAGTATTATCCCTATAACAACAACCCTGTGAGGTTGGTTGGACTGAGAGCCTGTGACTGGTCCAAAGTTACCTAGTTGTCTCCATTGCTGAGCAGGGACTAGAATCTAGATTGTTTGAGACCCAATCCTGTGCACTTAACCCCTACACAAGTTTTTCACACATTCCAGTGAAAAACTTGTCATCAGATTTCAAACTGCAATGAACTCCCCCCACTTTGCTATAAAAACATCTGAATTATGACTTAGCGTGCAAGAGTATGCATATTTAAATAAAGTTCCTCCAACTCAGTGTCCCTTAGCCAGCCAGTCTGGGAATGGTAGGGCTTTTCTGCCTAAAGTCGTATAGGATAGTACCTTTAAAAGCTGGACAAGAAAAGTGAAAATTATTTCAACAGTTCCAGCTGGATTTACCAGTTGCCAGGTTCTGAATGTGAGAGAATGGTCATTTTCAAAGAAGCTGGTTGACCATACCAAATCCAGCCTGTTGTCAAAGCATCGTGTATGTTCACACCTTCCTGAAGTTCTGTATAAGGACAAGCTAAACTTTGCAATCAATATAAATTGAATGAATTGAACAAAACTGTGCATATTATAGGCTTATTCTGCAAAGAGAAAGGCCATGAATCTCTGTCTCCTGACTAATGACCCCTTTTCTGGCTTCACTGATTTCAGTAGTTGCTGCCCAGGTAGTTTCAAGTTAATTGCAGTTTCCAGACATGAGGAACAGCATATATCAGACAAAATAATGGAACATATGAATCCTTCCCCTGGCTGGTACTTCTGAGGGTGGCGACAATGAGAAGCCTTTCTCAGGGATGGTCTCTTATTACAAAATGATCTTCCCACCGAGGCCAGCTTGGCACCAACTCTCTTCAGTCCCTGATTAAGACTGCCTCCTTTTCCCAGGCTTTGGAGGGTATTTAATGGCATGACATTGGGCATTTTTGTCAGTGGTTTAACAAGGCCTAGTTAGTCTTGACATTGTTTTAGTTGTTAAATTGATTTTAAATGTTGTATATTGAAAAATGGAAGTGATATTTTAATGTATTTCTTGTCAGTGTGCTTGTGTCTTCTTGTCAACTGTCCAGAGAACTTTGGTTATTGGGCAATACAAAAATGAAATTTAAACCTGCAATTTCCAGGATGCTGAATTCTTTGCCCAGCATTGCATTCAGTGTTTGAATGGAATCTCAAGAGCCAAAAACAGGAAAGCTTGAAATAACTAAGCAATTATGTTTTCTTTTCATTTCTCATCTGGGATAGGTGCAGGGTCCCAGTCTGATTCAGGACTGTGACAAGGGGGCCAGATGGCTTTTACAATCCATATTGGAGCCTATAATAGAACGAAAATTAAAAGCAGGTACTATATACCCACCTAAAGTCGTTCCTGATTTGGTCCTCCAGTCTGATCTATACATAATGCAGAATAGTACCATACCATTTCAGACATGATGCGGCACAGGTTTAGAATATTTTTGCATGTAAACATGGCTCCCTGTGAGTAACATGATGTATATTAGAAGGAAAGGTTCTATTTCGGCTTGTTCTCTATTATCTCCATCTATTTTGTATGGGAAGGGGGATCATGTTTTTGTTTTCATGTGAAAAAGCATTGCAAAATGTGATTTTGCACCACAACTGTAGTCTGAAATGGAACAGTCCCATTCACCCATCTCTGAATTTTCTTTCCTTATTCTGCTGCATACGGACAAGGTCACAGAATGCATCTGCAAGTCCTGCATTCAACATGTCACATATTAAACAGCCGGACAGGTTCATGCAGGTCGGCTCCTTTGTCCTGCAAGCCCACCTTGGTGAAGTTCCAGCGCTGGATAAAGTGCCGAGCCACATCCCGAGCCGCTTTCCCGTGCACCACCGAAGCAATGTCATGCCATGGCATCCTTGGTGTTGTGTAGCGATCAATGAAGTCTATGTGGCAGAAAGAGAACTATGTATCACTTATCAGCGAGGGATCAGTGGCTACTCAGATAGGTTGCCCAGATGCATCTGGCTGACCACTCTTGGAAACAGGATACTGGACTAAATAGGCCTTTGGTTTGATCCAGAACTGCTTGCCTTATGCTACAAACTTACCTCCACAAACTGGAAATTTTGGGAAACCATAAGGCCAGTTCAGATGTTTCCTGTTATATTAACAAGCTAGCTTCTACATCCAGTTTAAAAGAAGCCACCATTCCCTGTGTCATCTGAACTTGCAAGACAGGATGTTTAAGCTGCAGTTTGTGAGCCTAAACTGAAATTGTCATGATCCCTAGAACAGACCTTCTAGAGCACAGCAAAAGATTTTGAGGAGAACAAAGCATAGGCCACCTCCTCATAGGTAGAGGAGCCCTGTACCAGGCTTTCCAAGCCAGAAGACGTAACTCTGCTGTCATCCTCTGGCTCAGAGGATGAATACCCAGAAAACCACTATCTCCCCAACTCCACGGATATCTCAGGCTACAAAATGTGCTCCTCCAGCAGGGATGGAGCTGGCCATCCTACGGACTTGCCAGCCTGCACAAGGCTTCAGCTGGTTTAGGCCCCTGCTGAGACAACATTCTCCTACTGCCAGGCAGCATGGCCCACTTCTACTTTCTGCCTGACTTGATTTTACTACCAGCTTCTCCTGTGAGCCTCAAGGAACCACAGAACAGGACAGAAACCCTGTAGGGTTGTCTCTGCCATGCAGCAGGGAAATGTGACTTGGATGTGACCTGCTGCAGGTGGGACCATGAGGGTTCAATTGGTGACTGAATGGTGTAGCACGATTTTTAAGGTGTTGGCCTAGCTGAAGCGGACCATTTGGGTTCTGCTTCAGGTAGCAAAAATGCCTTAGGCCAGTACTGAAAAGATGGCTTATTCACACTAACTATAATTTAAACTGTGGCCTATCTAAAATCATAAGCAAATATTCCTACTCTCCTCCTCTGGAATGCAAAAGACAAGGAAGGGTGACTCCGAAGCCTGCAAGGTCTGCCATGGTTTCCAATTACGTCTGCACTGGGCCATTGTATCAACATATGGAGCAGGAAAAAATGTTGGTAAGCACTAGACCCCTGAAAACATCTGGCTTGCACAGGATGGCTTATGGCATTTTCAAATCCCTTGAAACATTTTCTTCAGCCTTGGAGGCCCAAGTTCAAGAACAAGGAATTGCTGCCCTGTGTGAACTGGCTCCCAAGAACTGAAGGACAGTGGTCTGGGAAGTTTCTGCTGGACATAAGGTTTATAGCATGAACCAAAAGAGTGCAGGTTGTCATAACTGGCAAGCAGAGGTTAGCCCTGAACTAGGACTGAGCAGCCCTGGGTTCTACTCCAACTCCCACTCTGCCATGCAGCTCACTGGGGACTTTGGGCCAGTCACTGATTCTCAGCCTAACCTACCTTACAGAGCTATTATGAGGAGTCACTGAAGATCGGGAGTAGGACCAGTATGTCACCTTCAAACCTTAAGACGAATGCTAGGCTATAAATATAACAAATAAAGAGAGGAAAGCACACTGATTCCAAGTTGCAGAGCCACTTACCAGCAAAAGGTTTATCAAGCTGGACCCAGTCTTTGAAGACAAAGTTGCAATAATCCTTTCCATGCCAGAATCTGGTTTCACCCTGAAGCTCTCCAACACCCGTCTTCAAGCTACGGATTGAACCTTTATCTGTTCCAAACAGTGAAACACACAGAGTTTTTTGGAACGTTGTGAGAACTCCCAGCACAACAAGATGAAAGTAGCAAGGCGGGAAGCATGCTCATCACATGCTGCCTCCTTCCTGTTTCCCACCATAAGGGTGACAATAACTCACTCACTTGACTCGCTGTCTACGCTGCTTACACTGTCTGCATGGTATAGGCCATGCCAGTGGAGCTGCTTGTAGATGCTGAACCTGGCAAATTTCTTAGTCCGTCCTATCCCTTTCATTCTTGAAAGATCCGGGGTGTCCTCGTTTTCTTGCAATGACAGCTCTCTCTGCGACCTATTGGTTGAGGGTTGAGCTGCTTCTGCTGAAGACTTTGGGTGAAAAGAGACAGGTAAAAGATGGTCTTTCCTCCCATCAGCCTAAATGTAGATACAGCTTCACGGATTTATGAATGCCCAGATCGACAGTTGGGACTGTATAAATAATACTTACAGAGAGATTCACTGCAGACTCAGACTTGGTTGCTGGCATCCGTTTTGCACTGCCAACATCGGTCAGTCGGTGCTCATTGTCGTCCCACCTGCCATAAGCCAGATCAATGCCTCCAACGAAAGCTATGGACTGGTCAATGACCACCAGTTTCTCATGGTGGGCCCACAAGTAAACAGTGGATGACACATGATCTGGGTGCCTCATTACCTGGATGAGAAGAAAACACCTACCTTAAAATCAGGTGCATTGTACGTAATGCCATTACGGGTTTTAAAAGATGCTACCTTTTGTCTTGCATTTAATCACTCATCTCAGCTGCCACTGGTGACCAAGAACTGCATGCAGGTGAGTGCACGTAATTCCCTCCAGGTACGTGAGCAGTTCAGCTAAGGAGGAACAGAAGGATCTATCCCTCCTTTACCAGCTCATTCCGGGTCTCTTCCAGCATAAAAAGGTACTTGTTGGGCTAAGGATGGCATGCTGCGTTCACCCTTATCCAGCTATTCCAATTATACTCTCTGCTTGTATGGCTGCAGCAACAATTCTTCTCCCTCAGCCATATGGAAATTTAGCAACCTTTCCAAGGAGCGGCAAAGAGCAACCTTTCTCTTTTGTCAGTCTGATAAGCTTCTGGTCTGCAAAATGTTTCACTGGAATGCAATGGGCTCCTAAGAGGGGCCCCTCTTCTGCACGGAAGACAAGCAGATGATTTCCCTTTGGAAGGCTGGCAAGTTTAGAGGATTTAGTAACTGGGCTGTGCTAGCTACTTGACTTGCCGTGCCGCAGCTGTTCAGTGGAGGCTCAGCTGCCTGTGAAGTATCCACCAAACGCAGTCTTATGATTGGGAGGCTATTCCTAAGCCACCTTAGTAGGATCTTGTATTTTGGAAAGTGGCCCAGAAATAAGGGTACTAATAAAGAGCATAAATACCTTAATGTTGGGATGCAGATGCATTAAGGTGCGCTTGGTGTACTCGCTGTTGATCCCAAGAGCAAGCTCTACCTCTTTGTAGAGCATCACAAAGATTTTCACTCCTTGTTGCTATCAAGAAACAAAATATAATTCAGATTTCTTGCCAATATGACGAGCAACACAAAGCAAGAAAGTTCTTACTCATTTTTGTGTACAAACTCTTCCTTTACAGGGTGATAGCACTTTGACTGGGCTGTAACAAGCAAGAACAACTGAGGTATCTTGTCTGGTTAAAAATGAGAGTGTATGTCTTTATTTTACTTCTTCTAGTCATGAACCATACTAAGTTAGTTAGATCATTACTGGAGGATCTTCCTTATTTTTGAAGTGTGGTGGTTTGTTCCTCCAAGGGCCTTTTTGGTGGTTGCACCCTGTGTTGAAATTCTTTTTTAATCTTATCGTCATTTAAAAATCCTTCTGTGCTGCCTGCCATATGCAGGTGATGTTTAAAACCGAAAATTCATGGAGCTTTTCAATTTTCTCCCTTGAAAAGCAAATGACCATCTTTGTTTCTATGAAAGCTGCCTTGCTATCTTTGTTTAGATGCTGTTCCCAGGTTGGTAAGAACTGATTTTGTAATTTGGGGTATTTTACACTGTGACATATCCATCATTCATAAAGAAATAGATACCTGAACACTAAAAATCCCACCCAGCTCCTTTTCCCATCACAAATTTCTTCAGGTACTGACATGCAGCTTCAAGACTCCTTTGCATCCTGGAGAGCTAGAAACTTGCCAGGTTGCTGGCTTGAATGCCTGACAGCAACACGCATACCTGCATGTTGGGATCTCCAAGCCGCACGGCAGCTTTGCTTGTTACGCATCAAAACCATGATGGGATGTTACAGAACATCTGTAATACCTCACGGGCAAAGATTTATTTAAAAATAGATATTTAAATTTTTGAACAATATATTGCATTTCATTTGCAGAGAACAACTTCTGGCATATTGAGACATCTCGAAGGAACAGTTGAAGTCTAGGGACATGCTGCTATGATAGAGGAACAGAACAGATTAACTCTCTCTCTCTCTCTCTCTCTCTCTCTCTCTCTCTCTCTCTCTCTCTCTCTCTCTCTCTCTCTTTCCCCCTGCCCCATTTCCCTGTGCTAACTTCAGGGGGGTTTTTTGCATGTAACTAGCACATGGACATGATGGAAGCCCAGACACCTGCAGTCCAGGCACCCAAAGTTCTGACTGATGTTATTCCAGGCTGCACACCTGGAAATGAGGCCTAAGATCAGTGGGACAACCTTCACTTTCCACACTTGCTATAACAATGGTACTTATTCTATCAGAGCCTTTCCTTTATGTTCCTGTATTTGCTGCCTTATTTGCGCTTCTTCACCTACTGGCTAGGAATCTCTACGTCTCCATTTTGTTCAGATTTCTGTTTTTCCTTGCTGAGCTCACACAATCCAGGATCCATGCAGGCTCTTCCCACACCACACGCAGAAATGGGTTTTTGTATGCATTTATCAGATGCACACATTTGTGAATATATACACTGGGAATGTATGTGAATTTCAGTGCAGTTCACAAATCATTTGAAAGGGCCATTTACAATCCTGAATGTGAACAGGTGCACACATTCTCCAAAAATGGCATGACTTTCCAAGTTTGCATTGCATTGGAAAAATCTGGATCTTAAAAAATGAACAACTTCAAAGAGGCACAACTTTCTTATTTTAACCAACCAAAAACCTGACCACAACCAGTACAGGAGTAAGCGGTGCTGAACTCTGAAGTCGAGCTCAGAATTTCAGCGGACTGGAGCATCCTGTTGTCCCACCGCTGTGAAACACACATCACAAGCTGGAAAAGCGGAGAGCAAGTGGTGTAGTGGTTAGAGTGTTGGTCTGGGAAATCTTGGTTCTATTCCCCACTTGGCCACAAAGCTCACTGGATGACTTTGGGCCTGTCCTACCTCGCAAGGCTATTGTGAAGATAAAATGGAGAGAACAAAAGCACTATGTGAAGTGCACTGAGTTCCTTGAAGGAACACAAGTAGGATTTAAATCTAATAAATGGATGAGTACAATGTATAGGTTTCTGACCACAAATTATGTCTGGCTCCACATCTGGTTCCAGGAGGTATGAATGGATCACCGTAGGGGTAACATGCAGAACTATTTTCAAATTACAGGAGGTGAGGGGAGAATAAAGGAAAGAGGTCATTCAGGTTTACCTTTTGTGCCAGTCTCTTTAACTACTGCTTTTGGAAGTCTGCATCTGGGCAACCTATCTGAGTAGCCACTGATCCCTCGCTGATAAGTGATACATAGTTCTCTTTCTGCCACATAGACTTCATTGATCGCTACACAACACCAAGGATGCCATGGCATGACAGATCTAGAAATTGAGGGGAGTGAGGGAGTGGGGCCAAAACTCTGTAGTGAAACACATATATTGCTTGCAGATGTTCCTTGATTGAATTCACATTTCTAAGTAGGGCTAGGAAAAGCTCTTGTCTGAAACCCTGCAAGTGCATCTGTCAGCCCATGTCAGCAGCACTGAGCTAGGTGGACCGATGGCCTCACTCACTGAGAAGCCGCTTCCTCTAAAGATGTGCACTGGCCTCCTTCCTGCCAGCCCTCCCGTCCTCTGCGTAAAATTCAGGCTCTCTTCCCATGCGCTGTTCATAATGACAAACACTTTAGCAGTCTGGAATAAACATGAGTCCAAGTAGTCCTAGCAATCTATTTTTTAAAGTCTCCCACTAGCTTGGAAATATGTGTCTCTTTCTGCCTGCTGGCCTGCCTGTCTATTCCAGAGTTTTCTCTTAGAAATCCCGGGACCTGAAAGCAGAGCAATCCAAAGTACCTGTGCATTTCAGACATTTGGGCAAACTATTTTTGTTCTCGTCAATTTCAAAACATCTCCTCTTTCCCCGATTTACATTCTTTACCCCCTCCCACCAGCATATAAGTTATAAGCCTAAAGAGCAGGCAATATTCATGGAAGAAGCAGACTTTGCCACAAAGGGAGGAGCAGGTTTTGACCTATAAGTGTTTGGGAAGATACTTTTCCCGCACTGGCGCAAAGGCCTTTTATGATAAGGATATGAAGGTCCAATGAAAATGGTATTTCAGCACAAGCTCTGTAAGCCAGTCTGACCCATGTAACAATAAAGCTTGGACACAGCCCAGAGATATTCTCCAGCAATTAGATCTCTATCTCTTCAGAGAAGATCAATGCCTACCATTAGTCATGTAATGAGAATCCATTTCGAATAGAGACACGTATAATAAATCACGCCACGTTGTGATGGCATCTTTCTGAAAAGTCAATTTATATTATCTCAGTGATCACCATTTCTATTATACACAGTGGGCCAAAAAAGTCTGCTGATTGGAGTAAAGATGTAGTTCAACAGTGACAGAAGAACAGGGATGGCCAAACACCCTCCTGCTTGCACTGAAAATTAACTGGACTGTGAGTATTTCAGCCAAACACTTGAAAACATTTCAAGGGTGGAGCCCATTATCTTGCCCCTTGGGCTCTGCTGTGCTCACCCCTTCCCCATGGTATAACTCCTTTTGCAGAGGGAAGGCAGAAGTGGCATGGAGGGCTGTGGGGGTGGAGGAAGGGGCCAGCTCAAAATGGGAGCACCCCCTTTCGGTAGGGGGAGTTTACCTCTCGAATTCCACCCTTTAGAATACGCATCCCATCTGTATTCAGGAACTGGTGTGACTCAGCTTAGTTTGTGGGTCCAGGGTCATAGTTCCAGCGAAGAGTAAGACCATGTTTCCATGAGCTTGTAGCATGCAGCTCAGTGGAACTGACCCTCCAACCTCAAGCCAGTGGGTCAAACCTGGCCCGCTTGGGGTCCCAAGGCAGCCTCCAGCATTCCTCAGGTAGCCACATCTGCTGTACCTCATTCAGACCCCTTTCCCTGACTGCTACCCCAAAATCAAATTCGGTCCTCAGAATCGGTTTCATGCAAAAGTTGCCAGTGATGAACTGGGAATTTCAGTGTAACTGCTCATGGATTTAGTGGATGCAGGTTGGCCCCTTCTCTCAGCCATAGCTCCTTATTTGCAGTATCAGGGAGGGGGGCAGCTAAAGCAGGCCCACCTTTCAGAACTTTGTAAGGCTGGGTTGGGGAAAGCAGCACTTACCGCTTTCCGCCTCAAAATGCAGTCCAGTCTCCAGCGATTCCCTTCCACCACCGGCCGTTTCATGAAAATTTCTGGGCTCAGCCTGAAGAAAAGAGATGAAAAGAAAAGAAAAATATCTGAGCTAATTCCAAATATATATTAAGACATGAGCACAAGTCAAGTCTTAATGAGGAGTAAATAGACTGATCTCTCATTATCATCATGGTCACCATCATTACCACCACATTTCTTCCCTTCGTGAGGAACCTGAGGCAGTTTAAAGTTTCTCCTCCTTTCAATTTTATCCATAGAAAAAACCTTAAATAGGTTAGGCTGTAATTAGTTCAAAGCTGGTCCTGGCTACTACTTAGTGCAGGCATCTTGCACTGGGCCACTTTCAGCTATATTGGACAGCAATGCCTATCATTTTGGCTAGGAATGATGGGAACTGCATGCCAATACAACTGGAGGTTATCCAGTGAGAGCAGGCAAATTTACTGTTTCTGGAACATTCCTGGAATCTTTATGGTCAAAGTCAGTGGCGGGCTGACTTTGGTCTTGGCCATCTATTTTTGTTCTTTACTGCAGCCTTCTGCACTGAGACCCCAATTATGGAGCACTCTGCTGCTGGAGCTTCGCCAAGCATCCACCTTATTGAGTTTCAGGCACCTGGCAAAAACTTTCCTTTCCCAGTGCATCTTTTCCGCCAGCTAGACTATTTACACCAGAGCATGGTTTTAATTATATTACCATGTGTTTTATTTTTATTTAAGTATTTTATTGCGGCTGCTTTTTGTTTATTTACTATATCTGAATGATATTAATTTATTAATGTTATTTGTTGATTTTATACTGCAATGGCCTCCCAGAGAACATGCTGCTAATGGGCAGCTTTTAAACAAATTATTGTGTGTGTGTGTGTACGCGCGCGCACACGCGCTAGCCAATGATCTAGAAATTTACAAAGCAATTATACATAGCTGGGATCTCATGGTACTTAAGGCTACAACACAGCTTTGTTGTGATTTGAACTGTGTACTGAAAAACACAGAGGACTTTCTCCCTCTCTTCTCCCACTGCAGCCCTCCAAATTTCTGCCCAGAGTAGTTCCTATCAGCTAAACTATTTTACTGGGTTTCATATAAGGTAGGCAGTGGGTCAGGGGCTTGAAAGATCACTCCACCCAGTTTAGCATTCTTTGCAAGAATCTTAGCAGCTGCCAGTTGGTCTGCTGGAAAGTCACCAAAAGTTACAAAGTAGACTGGAACCTGCTTCCTGGCTCGATTAACCAATGCTTGCAAAAGGAGTACACCCCATTTAATGAAATAATAATAAGTATGCCCCCATGGAATGATTTGTTTTCTGAGTGTGCTTTCTATTCATTATGTTTAACAATCCTCCCTATATGCAGTCAACATCTGTGACTGAATCAACAGTCTTTTGTTTGCGAAATGCACATGATGAGTAATTGGTCACTTGAGGGCCAAGGAGGGGCAAAAGCTGTGGTAGAGAAAGAGCACATGAGAAAGAACATGCTATTGTCATTCAGATGAATGAACCTGAAATTGCTGCACTGTTTGCATATGCGACTGTGATCATTGTCTGTTTCTGGGGCACAATCCAAGGATGGCCACTTGGTTATCAGTCAGATTCAATTCTAATTCAGCAACTCTGGATGGCAAACTTTGGTTCTAAGTAAACATGACAGGGAAGCCATATGGGGGCAAAAGAGACACAAAGGTGATTAAGGGAGCAAGATCTTCCCTCTTCTTACCTCCCCACAATCCAAGAATGTTTCTTTCAACCTAGATCTAATCCTGGAATTGAGCCATTTCAGGGGAGAAAAGTGCCTGAAATGATGGAGAATCTTAACTGGGAATTTTGGATTAGAAAGCAGGGGGGGCGGGGGAATGCAAAAGCCAACATCTTCTCCCAAATTTTAGGAGTCATAGCAGTGGCTTTTCCTTTTCCATGTGCTTTCCCTCTTAAAGTGGCATTTCTTCTCTTGGAGGCCATTTTCCAGTGGCCAGGTTCCCCACCCACCTCCTGCCACATACATAATGGCTCCTTGCATGCATGGGGGTACATGGTGCCATTACCGGTGGCAAAACGGTTAAGAAACAAATCAAGGCTTTGCACCGTCATGCCTTTGAAACTTGGGAAGGTGAAGGACCTTAATGAAACCCACAAGCCCATCTCCAGTTTAATTTTAGGCAAATCCACCCTCACAATGTAGACTTCCAAAAGCAGTAGTTAAAGAGACTGGCACAAAAGGTAAACCTGAATGACCTCTTTCCTTTATTCTCCCCTCACCTCCTGTAATTTGAAAATAGTTCTGCATGTTACTGTTCTTTTAATTCAGTCTCTAAGATGTATAGAAAGGTGAATTGGAAAGCTTCAAGACTAATTTGCGGGAAGGAGACACCCATCCTGAAACTCAGCATAGGGCTTAAAGCAATTTCTGAAGGCTTTTGTCACTGTTGCTGCTGGGCTGGTTTAAAAAATCGGTTGGTTCTGTTTTGTTTTCCCAGCCAAGTGTCCTGAAATGTCCTTTTCAGCAGAAACTCTCTCTATGAGATGGTTGTCTCTGCTGCCAAACCATCTGGTCCCACTGTTTTGTTTCCATGCCGAAAGGCCCCAAACAGTGCCACACTGTGATAAAATGTTCTAGGAGGTACTTTGCAGGGGGTGGGTAGCGGCAGGATATGAATATGCAAAACAGATACCAACCACCAATCCGTGATGAAAATCTCTTCCTTAGCTGCTTCCATGGCATTTGCAACATCTTCAAAATACCCTTTTGCATTCACGTACCTAGAAGTAAGAACAAATCCTTTACTTTCTTTACTGTAGGGAAGAGACAGGAGGAGGGGATGGGGTGGGGGGGGCACTAAAGCTTGAGATGAACAGAAACCATTCAATTCAATTTTCACACAGTAGTACAGCTCCATAATTTTATTAATCATCTTCTATCCTGCTCCCAACACCACAGTAGGTTGCTTTGTGTATTACTTCAGTTGTGAAGCACAACACTAACATTTCTCTCCTCTTCCTGTCGACTGAATTGCCATTCCATGCTGTGCAATTGCTTTTTCCTTCCCGATACATTAGAAGAACACAATTATTCGCCAACCCTGATTTTCAATTATTGTTACCATATTTCATTCTTGTCCTGCCTTTTTTCCTGCGAGGAATCCAGAGTGGTTTACACTATCCTTTTCTTCAATTGACCTTAGTAACAAACTTGTGAGGTAGGTAAGGCTGAGTGTTAGTGACTGGCATGGCCAGTGAGCTTTAGGACTAAGTGGGACTACAGAATCTCTGTCCAACAAGCTGGATCATTTTGATAATAAATAATAGCAGTAATCATAATCTCCAGCATTATTTATCTTCACTGTCATCCTCAGAGCATGGGATGTTTTGCATATTAAATTCCCCTCATTCATAGCACCAGCATGACTACTGGAATAAAACGGACCTGGATTTTGCTGCCTGCCCTCAGGGGGTCCTTTGGGGCCTCCTGGAGTTTGGCTGCAATGCCAGCTCTGGCTGCACCATAGTTCATGCAATTCCATATTAAATGCATGGAGCTACAATTGGTTAGCAATGGGGCTCCTCTGTGGGGACTTCTGAGCTGTGTCAGCAGCAGAGCTGTCTGTGCAGCTGCTCCTGGTAGCCACTGCTTTTCTTCTCAGGTGCCTCCTCCAGGCTGTGCAGCTCCAAGCCCCTGCATCTTAGCATGCAGACACACACTTTAAAGAGAAAGGGGGAGATGCACAAACTAAACGAATCCCAAACATGAGCAGTGAACAAATTGTTTTTAATCAATGAATCATGAAACAAAGGAATAGCGATGATGATGGTGATGATGATGAAGATGAAGATGATGATGTGATACTAACCATCCAGTTCCCAGAACAATTACAATGGTTTGGGGTTTGTTTTAAACAATTTAGAACAGGAAAATGGCACATGGGACCCCTTCCTGCAGCACCAATGTTCTGATAAAAAGTTGGAACACCCGCTGCACTGCGTTCAGGCAAAGAGATGTCAACACAGTTGGCCACTTGGCGTCTCTTTCAGCCCTGACTTTATTATCAGGTAAAGTCCTAAGTCATTACCATGTAGCTGACCTGCATTTATTAGCATCTTGAAGACCCTTGCCTTAATTTCCTCCTCCCTCCCTCCCTCCCTCCCTCCCTTCCTTCCTCATATGGTAGGGGATGCCATATGAGGTGAGACTGAGGGAACTGAGTCTCTTCAGCCTGGAGAAGAGGAGACTCAGAGGGGATATGTTGGCAACATACAGGTATGTGAGGGGGTGTCACACGGAGCTGGGTAGAGACCTGTTCTCCCCTGCAGAGGAGGGCAGAACGTGCTCCAACGTAGCAAAGCTCAGGGAACCAAGGTTCCATTTAGATGCCAGGAAGCACTTCCTGACAGTCAGGACCCCGAGGGTGTGGAATGGGCTTCCATGAGAGGTTGTTGAGGCCCCATTGGTGCGGGTGTTCAAGGACAGGCTGGACGTCCACATGGTGGGCATGTCGTGAGCGGAGCCGGCTGGAGCTGTGGGTCAGACTAGATGGCCCGGGAGACCCCTTCTCACTTGCTCTGTTTCTATGTTTCCTTTCTTTTCTCTTTTCTTTTGAACAGTGTTTCTGTTCCTCTGCTTCAATATGCCAAAGAAATACAAGAGGATAAGAAACAAGCTTAAAGGCCATGATTGTCCTCTCCCTGCCCCACCATACATGAGAGGCAGAAATTTGTTTTCTAGTTTTCTATCATTGCAGATGGCCACTAGGGCAGTGTCCCATCAACTCTTACCACTTTGCCAAAGTATCCTCCTGAACAGCCGCGTAAGAGCCGAATCTGTGATGTTTGAGAAAGTTGTTGCCATTTTTCCGAATGAATTCTTCTATTCCTTGGCACCACCACCGAGCATGCCTGTAGCTGTTGCACTTCAAAATCAGTGACCTGGATGCAGTGCAAATGGAAGGGAAGGAAAAGAAAGAGCAAACATCACAACCCATGCCCTCATTGAGCTGCCTGGACATGTGCCCTCGCTTTCTTTTTCTGAAGATGATCCTAGTGCATAGTTTCGTTCAACGGGCTTGTTTTGGCAACTGAAAGTATGGAGAGAGGTGGACAACACGTCCTGACCCCTGGTCTACCAACGCATGCAGAAAAATGGATGGATGCACGCCCACATGCACCCAGTGGGACCTTCTTCCACCGCTTTTTTGAAAGTAGCCAAACCAGAGGTTTCTATTTCTGAAACTGGCCCTACATTTTGGAAGCATCCTCTAATGATAAAGCTGGGATGTCAAGAGCACAGAAGGCGGCCTTGCTGTAACCACATGAAGAGCATGGTCTGAGCGAGCAGCAGGGAGGTACTGTGGACCGGCATGCAAGGCCGTTGCCCAGTTCAATTATGTCTCAGCCACAGCTGAAGCACATGCTCTTTTGCATTTTTTCAGCTTGAGCCCAAGGGCTTTGGCAACAAAGGAAGCTTCCGAATCAACCAAGCCAAAGTATCACTCCACGCAGGGGTTCAGCTACACATTATATTAAATATGAAGCATGCAGTCAATCCTCTTTTGCTTCCTTAATCTAAAGTGAGCATAGAGGAGGCCAGTTTGGGTTGGAACCACAAAGCACACTGAGAGAGTAATCGAAACCACCCCTGCTTCATGGCCTGACTTTCTGCAATCCCTCTGTGTGAATGTGTGCGCACGCAGGGTGAGTTTTAAAAAGAGGGCAAAAAGGTAGCACTGCTACCAATGGATATTTTTCCCCCCTTCAAATTTCCTCATTCTGCTTATGGCAGTCCCCGCTTTGGACTGGAGCCCCGCACAAGGGCCAAATTTTGCCAAGCTTTACTGCCAAAGAGGGGGCCCAATTCTCAGCCTAAGTATGAGGCTGTGAGGTAGGGGAAAGGATGTTTCAGCTCAATGCTACACTTTCCTCTTTCCAGTACCAAAGACTCTAAGCCAGGCTCAAAAATTAATCCACAAAAATGGCTGCCCCCTGTGATAACCAGTATACATGTTCCTTCATTGTGATACATGGAGAACCCCATTGCAAAGGATGACCAGCCCATCTTCCACTGAGAAAAGCTTCCTTTCCTAGCCACTTGCAAACAGTTCCTACAGTTCTTACAGGCAACCAGCAGAGGGAACCTTGCTCTAGACATACAAGAGAATTTTCCGTAAGACAGCATGCCAGACTTGAACTAGAGTGACTTAGGTTCAAAGACCTGCTCAGTTAGAGACTAGCATATTCATTATCACTCAGCCTCAGTTCATCCAGAACAAAGAGCGTGACTCATCTCAGTGAGGTTGCTAAAGACAAGAAACAACATTTCAAAGCATCAACCAACTTCAATGTGCTACAAAAATATCAGAATTTTTAGAAGATTGTCTTAACCCACTGAGGTATTTTCTTCCCTGATAACAACATCCCTGCCCACATCTGAGGTTTCTGAAGTAAGAAAGAGGATGTATACTTGGGGGGGGAGGTACACACACACTAGAGGGAGATAACTGGAGGCTTGGAGAGATTCCAACATTTGTAGAAGTATAAAAAATTCTCAAGTAGAAAAAGCTCAAAAGTTCCAAAAGAACCCACTAAGTTTTGCGTGTACTCCATGGTCACAAATGCTGGTTGACTGAGTAGAAAAAAGACAAAAAACAGGGATGGATGAGAATTCCGTTTTTGCTTGCAAAAGGTGCAAACATGCCCTCTTCACCACTCTGAATGAGACTGCAAGGAAGACCCTGAGTCCACTGAAAATATTTGCAAATTGCTGAACTTCTGCTCATGTTCCACTTGTGTGAGTTCCCCATTCAATTTGGACAAATTTCCTTCACAGCCTGAATCAGCCCTGCTTGGATCTATGGAGGAAATTTGCACACATTTGCACTGTGCGAATTTCACATTTGATCATGAGCTGGCATTGAACATGAGAAGAGTGGCAAGTCGGGGTCTGGAAAACCTAGTGATCTCAAGCATCACTTGCTTGCCCATCTCAAAGATAGAAAGATCAGGGAAGAACGGGAATGGCCTGGATACCCTTTGGCTGCCTTGCTGGTAGCATTCTGGTCCAGGTCCCATTTGCATTTCATTAATAGCCATTAAGATTTCGCTTCTTTATGCATTCTGTGTTGCTGAATTTGATTGTTCTCTCAATGTTACTAAGAAGGTCCAAACTAGGAAAGCATGTGTATAACAGGCGTGTTTGTAAGTATGTGCTATGGTAAGTACTGAAGGATGCCATAATGAGGTAAGATGTGAAAACTCACCTGGAGAGATTGTCTATTCGTAGCCCATATTTAGTGTCAGTCTCCTTCTTGCCAATCTTTATGCTGAATTCTTTATCTACCAGCAGGACAAAGGAAATGGCTCCAGTATCTGGCTTCATGTACATTAAAAAAGAGTCCTTTACTACTAACCACCTGGCAAAGAGATCCAAAAGAATGTATATTTAGCATTGGCCCATTGATTAACTGTCTTTTCATCAGTAGATTATTCATGTATTTGTAATGTTCTTGAAGCACCCCTTTGTTCAAATACAAAGGATCACATTCATGGACTTTTTGTACAACAAACTCAGGAATTAATAGTAAAATCAGAAAGCAGCATGAATTACTAAACCCTTGGTAGAACAGGGTGGTTTTTACTGGCCATCTAAAGGGCAACAAAGAGAAGGCTACCCTAATTTCACACCTGAAACCTGTATCAGGTTTTGATCAACTTCATTTCTTTAGGAGGTGGGACGTAACAGGGTCTCAGATTATGAATGCACATTTTGGGCATAAAAAGCTCATAAGGGAGGAGTTTGTCTTTCAGATTCCCTTATCTTTATTATTATTCAATGGTAGCTGAAATTTCTGAGTAGTTTGGGAAGGCGGTCCCATACTAAGTGCATTAGAGTAGTCCAAATGGGATGTAACTTAAGCATGGGTGCCCAAGGCCAGATCGGTCATCTCTAGGAATGGGCACAATTGGTGTAGTAGCCATACCTGTGCTAATGCAGTCGAGGTTGCCACCAAAACCTGGGCATCTAGGTTGGAGGCCAAGTCCAGAAGTATACCCATGCTGCAAGCCTGAGTTTTCGGGGGAGTATAGCTGCACCCAGCACAAGTTAAATACCAATTCCCTGATCTGCCTTTCAACTGACTGGGGACACCTCTGCCTTGTCTGGGTCGAGCTTCAGTTTGTTTGCCCTCGTCCAGTCCTTCACTGAAATCAGACACAAGGGTAGAACTAGAACAGCTTCCTTGGAGTTGGACGGGGAAATAGACTTGGGTGCCCTCAGATACTGGTGACACCAAACCTCAAACAACTTATTTTAGTGGTTTCAGGTATATGTTAAATAGCACGGGACATAAGATGGAACACTGAAGTCAATGGGCACAGCATTGAATAGAAGCCCCAAACACCACTTTCTGAGATCAGTCCTCCAAAAGAACATGAGTCGACCAACAGTGCTCCCCAGTCCCCTCTCAGACAGATGCCGCAGAAGGATATCTTGACTGGAGGGACTGACAGTCACTATGGTCTGGCAAAACCAACACAGTCACATTCCCCAGCCTAGTTTCTGGTATCCAACAAAGGGATCAAAGCAATCTCTGTCCCATTACAGGCCCAAGCCAGATTAAAATGTATCCAGATAGTCTGCACCATCCAGAAATTCCTGGCACTCAGAGCACCCCATGCCCCAATGGAATTTTGGAGACCATCCAGAAATTATCCACACAATGGGATTCGGGGTACATTTTTAAAAATAAAGGTCTTAACACTATCTTTTTTAAGGAAGACAGAATCTTGTTTAATCAAGCATCTATTTTAATTTATTTGTTAATTAAAGTACACACATCATCGTGTGTGCCATAATCACAAAAGGAGACTTCTGTCCAGCTTTAAAGGAGTGAAATCCTTGTTCTAATAAAGGAGAAAAACATGTTCATCTGTCTGCAACATTGTCTGATGCATACCAGCTCATCTATAAATTGCTTCCATTTGCTTATCCATTTCAGTCAAATCCAAGCATTTAACAGCCGTTCCCTTCCAAACAGATGGAGTGAGAGTTTTCACACTGCCTTGCCCACACAGTTTTACCAGCAATAAGTAAACTCATAATTAATGATTTCCCAATATTAGGGATTCCATCTTCAATTATGTTAAATACCTCAGTAAAAGATCTAAATTGAATTTGAGGTTCCCAATTTGCTATATGTATGGGTATTGAGTCTTTTGAAGGAACAGTTTACTATTTTTAATGTATACAGGCAAAAAACTACCTGCGTCAGATGCCCCTGAGATACATACATTAAGCCACCTCTTGTAGGGGCCAGTGATGCAGCCTCAGAAGGCCTGAAGTCCAAGGCTCCCCAGCACTAGGGGGCTCCAAATGAGCCGCCAGAGGAAGGAGGGTGATGAAGAAAGCAGCAAACAAGCCTTACATGCATGCTGAGTTTATAATGAAAAACTGCAGATGATCAGAATATTTATTTATTTTTATCGGGCTTGGTAAACTGGAGGGTTTGTATATGCATTTATTTCTGTAGCATTTCAGGATTGCAAAAGCCATTGTAAGCCATAGAATGGCAGCAGAGGAGTGTCAGGATATTCCACAAGAGAAGCCAGGCTAACAGGACAACTGCGTTGCCAAGAAGAGGGGTGAGTAATGTGCAGCCCGTGGGCCACATGCGGCCTGCGCTACTCACAAAACTTCTATTTGCCATTCCATTAAAAAGAGAGTCTTCTGGTACAAATGGGCTGCTTTCCCTTCATCTGTGTACTTCTTCTCACTCATGCAAGGAGGAAACCCTCTGCTAACGTTTTGCCTTTCAAAATGGGTATCTCCCACCCAAGTGGAGTGGTGCAGTGTTCTATCTCCCACCCAAGTGGAGTGGTGCAGTGTTCCATGCCAGGGCCAGATTTTTCCAACCCGTTTTGCTGCCTGTGTAGACCAGGTTAAATAAAGGTGCTTGCTTTGGCGAGTCTGCAACTTAGAGCGATTCTTGGGCAACGTCTACCCACAAAGGGAATCTGCCCAAACCCTGGGATGAGTCACTGGCTCTCCTGACCCGGAATGATTATAAAGACTACTGGGTACAGTTGGGGTTTTCCCTGAGCAATAACAGAACTCACTGTCTGTGTGACTCAAGACACCAGGTTCCTAGTACGCGAGGCATCGGGCTCTGTGCCTGTTTATGGAGCAGCCCTTAACTGACACACAAATCTGCATTCCTAAATGTTTATTTATAAAAGCATCCTTACTTAATTCCATTAATGCTAAAGAGAAGCATACTGGGACTTTGATTTTGAAATATAAATTGCCAGGCAACAGACTGCACAGCAGAAAAATACCTAATCACCAGAAGGTGGGGCTCCATTTCAATTTCAAGCTATTTTTACAATCTGGTTAAGCACATGTGTAGCTAGAATACTGAAATGGGCATTTTGCAAAGTCTGGCTTTTAGAATGGGATGTATTTACCTCAGCTCGAGGGAAGTCTAGGCTTACAGCCTAGCTACTGGACTAGTAATTTATTTTTTATTTTATTCAAAACTTTTGTATACCGTCCCATCACAGATGTCTCGGGGTAGATCACAACAAGTAATAACATGAGGACTAGTAACATTTTTTCGGTAATTAAAATAATGTTGGCCTAGACACAGGATCTTAATTCAGGGTCAGGGTGAGTGCTGGACTACGGAGTATCAGAAAAATTCTCTGTGTTCTGTCCAGCACAGGTTTTTTCACATAGCTGCTGTCATGTGTGGAACCATTGACAACACGAGCATTACTTTTGGTCAAAAGGCAGGACATACATCAAGTGGTCAAGGTTGTTGCTGTTCCCAGTGATAGGTACATGTAGGATTTTCTATCCCACCTGCTCAGTTAGTTCGGTGTTATTCCCCTTGAGCTGGGGTTGCCACGCACTATACTGCCTCACGTTTCGGTCTGGTCTGGTCTGAGGAGCATGAGAATGGAGAGCGAGGCCTTCCATTTGCCACCTCCCAATCCGTTGCCTGAGCAACAGGCTTCACTGTGCCTCAGGGCAAGGCCAGGCCTGCATCCGGAAGCTTCTTTTCTTTAGTCAGGAATTTCTTTAAGGAAATCCTGGTGTTTTGCCTGTGACAGGCATGCCTTTGCTGCTGCACTTACAGATGAGACTTCGGTCCAGCACCCAATGTACTCTAATATGCAAACTGGCAGCTGAGGTCATCAAAATGATCATCTGCTGGTGGGCAACAAAGCTGTTTGTTGGAGACACTAAACATGAGCAGAACATGGTCCCAGGCATGGCCAGGACAAGCTGTCTTCATCAGGTTGTCACTGCAATCTGAATCAAGCCTTTGTAAAGAGCTTTAGAACAGTTGGCCACTGCTCAAGGAGGACAGTGAGACTGGGAACAGAGTGCACTTTTGCCAAGCTGGCCTCAAGGTTAGCACACGCCTAGCTATGGCATGTACTATAAAGCATTAAAAAGAAGAGGAAGAGCATAGCAGCAGAGAGAAATAAGACTCAGGATAATGGTGTGCTTTTCCATTTGATGCTGTAATCCTAAGCATACTCAGATTCCTTCACTGCAGTTTACTTCCCATTTATCATCATCACCCACATCATTATTACATTGCCTTTACATGCTGCCCTGTTTCTTCTTGCAAGGAACCTATCAGATTGGTTAGGCTGTGTGTCAGTGATCGGTCCAAAGAAATAGAACAAGGGAATAGAACTGGGAATCCCCAAGTCCCAGACAAACACTATCCACTCTGCCATACTGGCTTTCCTTAAATTTGTTTAGCCTGCAGCCTGAGAGAGTAGAAACGAGGCAGCAGTAACCTCATACACCTACACTGAACAAACTATAACTGGAAAATATCTTGAAGCCAGCAAAACCCAAAGGGGCCATTGAGCTGTAGCAGCAGCACAAATCCTTAATAATGGAAGCTTGTTTGAAAAGCACTCATAGGTCAACGAGGCACAATTTGGAGCCCCAGCTCCACCCTTCCTTGCAGCTGGCAGTGTTATTTCCGCCCTCCGGTCTGACTTCAAAGCCGGTGCAGGGGGTGCGTTCCAGAGGGGTGGGGAGTCATACAGCAGGGGCTCTGGTCAGCTATCTGGAATCCCAGGGATGCCTCTGCTGAGATCAGGCATCTCAATGCTTTGGAGGGTGAAGGAAAAGCAGAAACAACTCTTGCCCCTGCACTTTTCCCACCTTCCTTTGGACGCTTTCTGAATTTGGAGCATTATGGGCTGTCACACCGGATGGTGTGCCTAAGGCTGCAACAACCCACCCCCAAAAGTAAGTCCCATAGACATCGGTGATTGCAACATTAAGCAATTAATGGATGCATACCATAGTACACACACACACCTGCTGGAAGTTAAAGCCATGGCGATTCAATGGAGTGTTTAAGACATATGCTGCCTGATAAAAAAGATTTGAGATTGAAGTACTTTTTCAACAGGTTGCAGTAAGCGTGGGCACCCTGTGGAATATGACCCTTTGGTCTAAAGCAATTTTATCTAGTCATTGGCAGCGCTGCCAAATTTTAATTAAGGCATAGTTAAACAGAAAGAAAGTCTGCAGCTTCATTCAGAAGGACAAGAATGTTGTGTTCCGTTTGTAAGAAATTTCACATTTGGATATTATATCTCTTGCTGAGATTTTGTGCAGAATATGTGTGCAACATGTATCTAAATTAAGTAGGACCATCATTCAAATAGCAAAATTTTAGTTAATGGCTAAGGCAGCAATGCTATGCACACTTACCTGACACTAAGATCCAAATACATATATTGTATTATTCAGTATGTGTGTATCTTTAATAAATTAATCTATTAGATTAATCTTTAATCTTTACTAATCTAGTTAATCTACATAAAAATATTTTAAAGAATAAAGTAACTTGTTTTTAGATGCTACTTAACATTATGACAGCCACCAACTTAGGATGGTTATTGCATCCTGAAACTCTTCCAAGAGAGAATTCATCACTCAAGAGTTTTGTATATACTTGTATAAAAATAATTCCAATTCTTTTAAAAAAGCAATTCCCTGCCCTCTGATTAGGAACATTTCCTTTAAAATAAGGTTTTGAATTCATACAATCTAATAATTGGAAAAACATACAGCCCTATCATTAACACATTATGATGCCTGAATGAACAAACCCTTTTGCAGTAGACCACGTCAGCTTTAGTAAAGAGTCTCACCACTTTAGAGGTGGGATCAGTTGGTACTAGAAGACATTTCTCACTCTCAAGGTCATTGTTAGGGAGAAAGTGGTCTCAAAGATGCTCAGATTGGTCTCTTAGGGAAAGAGGCACAATGGGATAGCATCCAAAATTGGTTAATGAAGCAAGAAAGAAGGTGAACGACAAACTATTGATGGAAGAAAGATTTATGAAGCAGCATCAAAATGTGCCTGAACATTCAGTTTAATGTACTCCTCCTCTGACACCAAATTCAGCTTCGCATCTTCAGACATGGTATGGAAGTGCTATTAAAGGTCGCACCCCAATGTAGTGCTTCTGCTCAAAACACAGAGGCCAGCTGTTCAATAAATTATTTTTGAAGCCTGCAGCTTAAAAAGAAAAAAGAAAGAAAAGCAGTCTCTTTTGCTGTCAGTATAAAGCTGCAAAGGGGAACTCTGAAGTAAATACTTGAAAAGAGGGATTTTTATAAAGGTACCTTTTTGACCATCGGTAGCACAGCCTTCCTTGTCCACAGCAATTCAAGCCCGGAATTCTGTGCCCTCCAGACCTTTTCATGACCATGCCTTCTCTGAAAGCAACAAGAACACAGAGAAAGCACTGCTTTGAGCAAGCTGCTGTGAAGTCCAATGTGATCACTGTGGGTCTTTTGAGACAAAACAGAGCTATTCATGAGAGGAACTTCAGGGCTTCCCCACGTATAGACTAGAAACCATCCCCACAGACAATGGGAATCCAGCCTTTTAAAAACCATCAAGAACAGAATTTGCTTAATAGGCTCTTTGCTTTGTTGGCCCATGTTTAATCTCTTCCTTTTTTGTCCTTCAACCTCCTGCCAACTTTTCAACTGATCCCTGTTGCTGTGCTTTTAACAGCTACTCCATCTGTGGGGACGAGCAAGGGAAGTTTAAACACTGTTGCTTGGTACGTCCTGCACATCAAAGTGCTGTTAAAGATGCAGTGACAGGGTCTGGCTGAAAAGTTGGCAGCTCTACTTTTCCCTGCCAGCAGGCTCTGGTCTAAGCAACAAGGCACCTCTGCAAGTATTTCTTGCTCAGTCTTTGCCTGTTTCCTTGCTCTGTTGATCTTTCCTGGTTTAGTGGTTCTGCCAGTGTCGCTACCTAATCTTGTTTCAAGCAACTTCCCTCATCACCCTTGCATTGTCTTCTAGACCTGACCACCACAGATGCCTCCTCGCACAACGTAAGTTCTCAGTCTCGTGGAAAAAGGGCTGTTTCCCCCAAGAACCTTGGATATATTGAACTGAGGAGAGATGCAGAAAAACTAAGTTACTTAAATGCAATATTTCCCTGCAAAGAGGCATCAACTTACATGCCCTTTGGTCCAAGATCATGGATAAATGATAACTGGCTCACTCCGATGAACTCCATCTGAAAAATGAAAAAGAAAACAAAAATTCAAGCAGGTATCTTTTAGTATTTGAAATGCAGAGTCCAGAAAATAGCCTAAGATTTGATTTTCTATACCATGTTTGGGGTGCAGATCCCCTCACTTCTGTGGCATTGCATCTCCACCTGCTTTTTTTCCAGTGATAACTTTGTGGCAATAGCTTCTTATTCATGCAACACCAGCAGAAGTCGCCATGCCCTTCTGAAACAGCAGTCTGACCACACAGACAGTGGGCAGTGGCTTACAAAATTTCATTCCAAGCACATTTTCCTTGACCATCAAGGGTGATCACTGCCTAGTGTTGCCAAGGTGTCAACCACAGAGAGTATTACTGGAATGCAGGAAGCTGCCTAGTTTCGAGTCAGGTTATTGGTCCATCTAGTGCAGCACTGTTTATTCTGACTGGAAGAAGAGATCTTTCCACATCACCTCAGTTCTACTGCTAAGCTATGGTGTCTCCCACAGGATATGTGAGGCACACTATGAAGCATTAGGAGCTCTGAAAGTTGTGTGTGTGTGTTTCTTATACAGATGCATGCTTCTAATTTTTTTGCATATGGCAGAAGCCTTATGAAAACAAAGTTAAAGTGCACTAGTCTTTAAGAAAACAAACTTGGGTTTAAACCATATGCTACATTAAGCTCAGAGTGTGTAGATGATTTAGGGATGACTGAGAAATCCACAACGGATTCAGATAATTTTGGAGTTCTATGAATCTAACCTGTAGATTCTGCAGCAGACTGGCTTATTCTTAGTCACATTAATCCATAGACTTGCAGATCATGTGTGCTAATTTTGGTGGGGTGGAGATTTGTGCTTTGCGCATTTGCACTAATATGCATTAGGGGAAATGTGTAAGCAGGAAAACATTCTCATATACACCTAAAACAAAAAATCCAATTCCAGCAATGAGTGGTTGACAAAACAAAAGACACTTGGCCATTCATGAAACACAGATAGATTTAACAATATCCATATATTCTTAGGCTGATCCTAACTTTTCAAAACTTTAATGCAAGTGCTCAGGGTTCTAGTCCATACTGGGATCACCATGTCTTCGGAAAGGGTTTAAAACTTCTCATCCAGCTGCTGCTGCTCCCACTATTTCAACGCCCCCATATGGGGCAAAAGAAAGAAGAAACTCCATTGGCTCCAATGGGTTTCTTGGGAAGTTGGGTGGGAAGCAGCAGATGCTCTATGGCCCCAATCCAGTTCAGAACCACACACACTCACCTATAGTAAAATTAAGGTTAGGATCAGATGCACACTTTGCATTTAAAACACTGTGTAGCACAGGCCTCTGTGTGAGTGCATGCTGTCACTTGGGGCTAATTATTATTGTATTACTGTCATTAGATTAATTTTTATTCTGCCTATTGCCCAGTACTGAGATTCAAGGTGGCCATCTTAATGTACAGGTTCAGTTCAATGTCTCAAGATCGGGATGGAACTGGCAGTTTGGAAGGCCACACGTACATCTTTTTCTTGAGGAATGACAGATAAGTCTTTCTAAATTCTTGCACATTTGACTAAAACATTTTGCATAGAAACAGTTTGAGGGCTGCCTTGTTCACTGATGGTTTCCACATTAAGATGGCCCCTTCATTTCTAGATTGGGGTGGCAAAGAGAGCAGAAAATTTCCCCGCCAAACCACTGTGTATCAGATGAAATTAAAGACAGGCCCTGCCAAAGTTTAAGCCAATTTTTTTTTTTTTTAAAAAAGGCAAAATGGCTCTATAGTTCTAAAACTGAGGCTCTCAAGCTGCTTTTCTTAATACTTTTCTTTTTCAAGGTTGCTGAGCCATGCTGAAAACTATATTACAGTATTTAGGAGAACTCGCCATCTATTCCACTGATTGGAAATACATTTACAATTAGCCTGAAAAAAGAAAGAAAAGGCATCAGCTGGGGAGTGTGAAAATGTGAAGCATTTTTGCTCATTTTATAAAATGTAAATATGGTATATATGTTTGATTTTTTAAAAACATCTGTCCCCAAGCTAGTGGTCATCATACATTTTTCCACTGTAAGGTTCTGGTTCTCTCAAACCTCAAAGAATCCACAGGGCACTCAAAGACTGAACCTCACCTGCGTGGAGATGAATACATATGCCTTTAACATAAAGCCTCAAGATTGCTTGAAGAAACTAACTAAACTAACAGTGCAGCAGCTACTCCCTATGCATATCTGACATTTCATACCCTTCCAGTTGTTCTCAATACCCCACTCAGATTTCCTAATGAACAGTGGCAGGAATAGCCTAGCAAGAGAATGTGAAGGTTTCAATATCCATGTCTATTGTGTATCAAAAGAAAAAATTCTAGGAAAGATCAGCTGAAGACCGGAAGGAGAATGAAATTTGAACAGCAAAGTGACAGCTGTTCTGTGGAAATAAACCCAATGGATCTTCGTGCCTTTGGATTATGCCGTTCAGTTCTTTTTAAGCTGGAATGGTAGGAATAGCAGACATGACCTAACAGTGTGATGGCAATTCTCTTTCTATTCCAGTGAAGTGAGAAACCAGAGTGTTAGCGCAGTTAGTGCAGCAGCAGGAGCAACAGCAAGAACACACTATGATGATGATGCAAAGAGCCATCCAAAGGGCTAAGGGAGGCTGCATACATGTCCCAGGAGTGTGTGAAGTGAGGCAGCATGAATTGTATGTACAGATTCAAAATAACTTGCCAAAACTTTAGCTGAAGGATTCTACTTCCCTTTGAAGAGTTATCTTCAGTAGGTCAAGCTTACAATGACCATTTCTGGCTGTGAACAAGGATAGGATGAACGTGTAGCTATATGTGTGTGAATACCTTCTTCTCTGTAGGTAGGGATGCTGGAGAAATCCAGAACAGACGGAAATAAGTGTGAACTTCCAAGAATCAATCTGTGAATTCTACAGCTGGCCATTCCTAGTTGCATGGATTCTGCAGACTTGCAAGACCATTTCTTTCCCTTGCGATAATATGGAAAATAAAAAATGGACCAAAATCTGCTTTCCCCCCATAGGTTAAAGCATGAAAATATGCATGGGGAGAATCTGAATATGTTAGGGGGATTTGCTCACTTTTCTGAGTGCAAATTTGTGGAACACCTTTGTGTAAAAACACCTTCTATCAATCAATGGGCAATGAAATGAAAGGTACCTGAAGATAAAACACAGAATGGATTTTACAACATTCATAAATCCCCACCTGTACGTGAATGTTGGCAGAGAAGCATCTGTCCCTTATGAGTTTAAAACATCTACAGCAGGGCTGGGACAAAATAAATTGCTGCCTCAAGCAGAGCAGCAAAGGTACTCCCCACCCAGAAACCAAGTACATAGCGCCCAGTGCTAGCTGAGTTATTTTGACCCTGAGGAAGGCTTGCTGTCCGATCCTTGTGCTACTGTCATTTTAGCACCTACTTGCCCCAGCAGCACCTCTTTTCTGCCCCTCCAGCAAAAGTCCAATAACAATAATACATTAAATAATTATTAACACACTGCCATTCCATAGACTTTCTGAGGCAGCCTCACTCTATGTAATGGCATGGACATAGAGACCCAAACTCTGACCCTGAAATGTACTTTTCCTTGTGTTTTACTTCATCTCTACTCCCAGAAGTTTCCCCATGGAGTTTTGAGAGAGAAGAATTCCACAAGCAGTGTATCAGCCTCTGAAAACGTTGCCAGACGGAGGCAAGAGCATGTGAGACAGATTTGAGCGCTCTGTTTTACACACTGTGTTATGTACTTTAATCTTCTCTGATGACTCAAAGTCTATGGGTGCCAAACTGGCATAGTATCACCTTCATGAACAGAAGGTAATTATATTATTACACATGGATGCTAATCCAAGCCTACACAGGCTGTATGCACATCATAATAATGTCTTTAAGAATGAGAGACAGGCCCTGGGAGATCAGAGCGAGGTTCATCTAATCACGCATCCTGTTTCAAACAATTGCCCACCAGCTGCTTCCAAAAAGACCACCAGCAGAGCATCAGTCCTTGCTCACTGTTTGCTCCCCCGCCCCCATCTAGCATCCAGAGATAGACTGCCTCTGAACCTGGGCTTCCACCCGAGAGCCAGCACGGTGGGACAGAGTCTTGGACGGGGACTTGGAAGATCCAGGTCACATTCCCCACTTAGCCAAGATGCTCACTGGTGACTTTGGGCCATTTACGGCCTCGCAGCTTAGTCTACCTCACAGAGTTCTTACGAGGATTTGCAGGTTGCCTTGCAATCCTTGTAGGGAAAAATGCAGGATAGGAAGTTAATAAAAAAGTAAGCCCCTTTTCCAGCCATCTGAATTAGTAGCCATCATCACTTCTTGTCATTGCAAAGTCCGTAAGGGATGTAAGGTATAAAGAAGCAGTGAGAAGGAGGTTGCAGAAATCAAGTTGGTACAGGTAGTGAAGAAAATGGGAGATGATCAGGAGCAATCAAAAGCAGTTGCCTTCCTAAAGCAGCTGCAGTTCTGCTTACATGATACCTTGTGTTAACACAGCAGAATATGCAGATTGTATCTGCCTCCTCACGAAGTCTCAATATTCCACACAGGTTACCCGACCTCAAGGATAGACATGATGTGTAGTACCTGCTATAGACTGCTACCCTGGCTGACTTTGCAAAGTTATAGTGAACCTGTGGTTTAGTTTGCCAGGCTAAGCACAAGAATCAGACAGCAAGTCTTCAGAAGCAAAACACAGACCTGCTAATCCCTTTGGAAAGAGAGAACTCAAAGAGGCAAGGGGAATACCCTTTCTAGGGCTTATTCCATATGACTTAAGTATGGTTAAGGAAGTGTATGCAAAGTTTATGTTTGCACAGGGCTTAAGAGATATCCCACAGCATTCTCTGCAAGACATCCTTTCCCATGAACTTGGGTGACCAGTAGGACTGTAACCTTTAGCTGATTAATCAGTTGGGTTAATCAATAAAGAGCTAAAATGTTAGAACAGACACCATTGCCATGGAGAGATGATTATCACCCAACAGTGTCTGTGAGTGGTAATCCTCACTGTCTGTACATTTTATCTTTCAATTTCATCTGACAATACAGTATTTTTAACATCTGCACCTGGCAGGAGTTCTTTGTTAAGAGAACAGAATTTCTCCTCTGTCAAACAGAATGGAATGTTTATTCATCCATCATCTGAAATGAAAGAAAATATGCTTCCCCCCCTTGAAGCTCATTGTTTTATTAATATGCACAATTTGTGCACAGATTTAAACTCATAATTGTTTAGTAAAACAACTGATTATAATTAATTGGCTAAGATTTGTTTAATCAGGTGGCAATCCAGGTTACCTGGGTAGTTGCTGGGAATTCTGGAAGAACAACAAAGCAGCAGATAAAATTAAAGGGAATAGTGTTTAGCACTTACTGTTCCATGGTAGTTCCTGTACAAGGGCATTTTTAAGAGGTTGGTTAAATAATCTTCCAGTTGTTTCTACAATGCAAACACAAAAGGTTTAGCTAAGATGGCAAATTCACAGTGCATTTTATTCGTGGTTTGATTTGTTATCATTTCATTATTTTCTTGGTTTACTGTTCTGTTACTAAAAATCAGAAAGCTAAGAGCATCACAAAAAAAAAACACACACACACACAACAAAAAACAAGCCTACACAACCGGGTGGCTTTCAGAGGTTTCGGACTGACATTTGGATCATCTCTGATGATTTGCAATGCTAGTTGTTGATGAGGGGAGTTGTCGAGCAATGTGTCTGGGGGCTGTCAGGTTGGGGAAGACTACTGAGCATAGCAGTCATTTATTACACTGAAAAGGCAGGAGTAGAAGGAGAGAATTCATCTTCTTCTTCTTCTTCATCATCGCAAGCTTTGAGCAAATGGACTGGGAAGGAGAGAAGCTCCAGACTCCTATCTTGCAAGCTTAAGTGCATCTTGCACATGAGATGTCTTGCAGGGCTGCAGATGATGCAATTTTTAACTGAGCCAGTTGACATGTTCAGCTGCAAGTCACTGAGAGCCGTTTAACGAAGGGAATGAAAGACTGACGAATGGACAGGCATGTAGGAATGAGGCCAGTGGTTGACATGCTGGCAAAAACCAACTGGATGAGAGCCTATCCTTCAAAGCAAGTAGGCAGGTGTGAAGGAGTGCAGCAGGAGGCCAAAGTTAACTCTCCTCTGTGCCCAGGCCAGTGTCCCAATTCAGATTCAAGCCCCACTGCTTGCTATTCACTTGTTAAGAGCTGTTAATGTGATTGATAATTGCAATAGTGGTGTCTCATCCAGTTTGGCAGTCTGTACTGATGCAGGATGATCTGAGCTTTGCCTCTCTGCACCGCAAACAGGATCTGAAATCCTCTAGCAAGCACAGCATGGTAAGGTAGGGGCAGACATTTGAAACAGTGAGAGAAGGGAAGGTTGCTTGAGAAACTGCAAGCTCACAGAAGAGCACCAGTCCCTTCTTTGCCTGAGAGGCTGGAAAGCAGCTACCAGTTGAAGCAGCTGGAAAGGTGCTCTAGATGGTTAAACAGGATAAGCTGGGACAAGGCCTCTGGCTCTGCTCCTTGCCATGGCCAGAGACTTTCCTCCGCACCTGCTTTCTCAACCTGTCCAGCTCACAACTCTGAACCTGCATGTAGGCAGGGGAGCATGTTCTTGGATTTGCACTCGTGCTTTTAAAAATGCACATTTTGTTTTTGTTTTTGCTTTGCTTTGGAGGGAAACTGCACATTTTCATGTGCTTTCGTTCTTTTTTTTAATGAGCCTTTTTCCAATTCAAAACGCACACTTTCCCATTCAAATAAAACACAAAAAAGAGTGCAAATGGGTATGAGAAATGAGGTGAGGTGAGCGTCAAGTTGGTGTTGAGAGAATCTGGGCAAATGTGCAACACAACTATGGATGGCAAACAAGTGGCTTTCACAAATGTCAGCTTACACTAGCACATCTTCAGCACCACCACTGAGATACCATGGGATAGTACCCTGAGGAAAGATAATGTATCTGCCAGTATAATTTAGCTTTTTCTAGCAGCCATCAATTACATCAGGTCAGGTAAAATTAATCTCCTTTGACCATCAAGTCCTACTTCTTTGAGAACAAATGCTACTTTATGCTCTGTTTCCCTGTGAAAAGCTATCTTGCCCCAAGAAATGCTTCAGAAGGCCAAAGGGAATCTGTAATAGCAAAACATTTAATCAAATGAATGGACAAAAGGGGAAGAAAATAAACAAAGCCTCTTCAGTGATCAGTACCATGAGTGGAACAGTCTGGCCTGGGGTTTGGATAGATAAATCCTAGCTGTGAAGGCCAGGATACACACAAGCTGCATACTTTGGCATGCAGTTCTTTGCTCTGGCTTCAGTTTTCCTTTTATGGGAGCAGAGGCTACAAGCCAGAAAGCTGGAGTTAAGCATAGCTTCCACTTACATATAATCAGGGAAGCAATAGTGCTCAGCTTCCAAATAAGCCACATTATGAAACCATGGTTAGGAACCATGAACTATCATTCCCAGTTTGGATGTAACAGGAAGCTATGATTCACTGCAGTTCCCTGGCTTGTTCATCCACTCATGCAAAGGGAGGACTGAAGCCGAAAGAAAGGACTATGTGCCATTCCATGAAGCTTCTGTGTATCCTGGCATATGAACCCTGGATTTGTCCAAATGTAATCAATGTCTTGCAAACAAAGTCAAGATCATGCTTACTCTTCTACTGGACAAGTGTTCTTCTCTAACCATGTTCTCAGAGGTACGTGGTAGACTTGGCATTTGTCTTGTTTCTCCTCTCTTGATGGTCTGTCTTCGTACTGTGTGTCTGAAAAATACAATATTCAGATTGTGGGATATTTTCACAAAGGGAAACATGGAAGAGAGTGGGTAGGTACCTCTTCCAATGCGAAATTATTCACTGTTCTAGTTTTGCAATATAGGGTAATCGAAGAATCAAGCTTCAATTCTTCATGCTACCACAATGTCTCAGAAGAGAATTCTAATATATTCTTATCAGATGTTATTCCCCCAGCAACCCTGTAATTTTAATCTTAACCAGGCTGGCCAGGATTAACCAGGTGTATAATCTTCTGGTAATTCAAATCCTACCCACCCTCTCTCCTTCTGGGAAGCTCAAAGTGGATGACTACCTTCTAAAAAAACACTAAGATGAGCACTCAGCGCTCAATGAGTAGCAACATATTGATGCAGAAGTTTTGGTACAGATGCTCATAATGGCCTATAAACCACCATCCTTTCTCAATTTGTGGTCTTCCTTCATAGTCTTCCAGAGATAATTCAGTCTTAAGTGGCCATTTCTTAGTCTTCTGAGACTTCAGGAAGCATCCCAGAACACTTTTCAAACACTATCTTCCCAGCCGTAAAGGCGAAGATGTTTTTTTAAAAACTGAATGACAGTGTAATGCCATTCAGGAGTGTCAAATGTCAGGCTGACATGTGATTCACCAATGGTCCCAATTTGGCCTTTCAGCATTTCCTACATGGCCATACCTCTTCCCTGTTGCTATAGCCTTTTTCCTGGTTGCTCATCATTTCACAGATTCCAGGGCTTTGTCCATTTTCTAAAAGGCTGAATTGCCTCCTCAAGCTTAGTTAGTGGCCATAAGAGCTTTAAGCTAAAGTATGCTGACTCCTTTGGTATCCTGGCCTTGCAATGCCCCTTCCCCAAGAGCATTTCAGTCCAAAGCTAGATTCACCCCTCAGGCTGAAAAGGGTCCAACACTTCTGATGTATGGTCTCTGAACAGGACAGAAGAGAGCCAGGTTCAAATCCACATCAAGGGTGTAGTGGAGGGGGTCCTTGTGGGGGTCAGAAATCCCCCACTTATTTTGGAGGGGGCTGTCAGGATGGTCATTGTCCCTCCTCCACCACTTCTCAAGATACTTAATTTTTCTGCTTTGAGGCTGGCAGCTGTGAAAGTTCTGAATGTAATGATAGAACAGGGGTATTTTTGGCAAGTTCCCAACCATTCCAGGGAACTACCTATCCGGAGAGGCCTGCCAGGCATGTACATGTGTTTTCTGTGACACTTTCCCTCATGGCCAGCCTCTGCTCTGCAGCAACATGAGGCCAGCTGGCCTTTGCTGCTTCAGAAACTGCCTCCCATCCCCTCTGACCCCTCCACGCCTGGCTGTGTATGCCTACACTTCAGCGGAATGTAATAAAAATCATTCGTTCTTAATAAAAATGATAAGAAGACATAAATTCTAGAAGCTGCCACTGTTTCACCCTTATCTGCTATTCATTACTCAACAGAAATTTGAACAAAGTGACAAAGCTCATTTTTATAGTATAATCATATATTGCATAATCTAGGGAATGGACATGGCATGGGGATGTGGCTCTGACTATCAAGAAGGTACCCCCCCTTCTAAATCTGCCACTGTATTACCCAGTCAAGACACTCACTAGGTGTCCGTTTCCTTGCTACTTTTCAGCATCTATGTCAGATTGTTGTGAGAATTTTTTTTTTTAAAAAAAGATAGCTTGATGGGCCTTATAACTACCATGGAGGGAGATAGATGGACCACCTCGGAGGAAAGGTGGTCCATAACTGTAATAACATCTGTAATAACAATAACAACAATGTCATTATTCTCCAGAAAATAAGTTTTATGCTTGCCACAGTATTCTGTGCTCTCTTGGGAGAGGCCTACTTAGGATACTTCCAACTATTGCTGGAGATGATCATCACTCTATAAGTACCTCAAAGGCTGTCACAAAGTGGAAGGTCAAGATCTCTTTTTGCTGATACCAGAGTGTAGGACATGGAATACTTAAGTCAAGCTGTGACAACCCAGATTCAGGCTAGATAGCAGGAAAAGCCTCCTCACTGTCAGAGCATTACGACAGTGGAACCAGCTGCCTAGAGAGGTGGTGGGCTCTCCCACACTAGAGACATTCAAAAAGAAACTGGACAGCCTCCTGAGTGGGATGGTGTAATGTGGTGTCCTGCAACAGCAGGGGGTTGGACCTGATGGCCTTCATGGCCCCTTCCAACTCTACTATGCTATGATTGTATTCTATGAACATGGTGTTCTGAGAATGGAGTAGGGTGGAAGGATGCCAGGAATAAGCAAGGGGCCCAAACTACAGAGGCTCCTATACAAATGGTACAGGAGAGAGAAAGGGCTAGCGGTCCAAGTGCCAAGGACCAAAGCAAGATTCGTTTTCTGGGGATTGCTGGAGGTCAGAGTGACAGGTGACAGATTTACTGAGCTAGGGAGGAGATATAGCAAAAAGCATTAACTTCTGTGATGAATTAAGGTCAAGCCGAGGTGGAAAAATATGTAGCTAGATGGAGTCACTGAAGCTTAAGTGTGTGAGCTTAAGTGGACTTCGGGGGATGGTGGAGGACAGGCAGGCCTGGAAGACTGTTGTCCATGGGGTCGCGAAGGGTCAGACATGACTTTGCAACTAGCAAGCAAGCTCAAGGATTGCAAAGATGCTAGATCAGTTCTGAGGAGTCTTATCACTAAGGGGTTTGTCAACACAGCCGTAGCACTGCACCAATGCCTGACTGAGCTTATTCATCGTCTTCATTCAAACATTTATTACGTTTCTATACTACTTGATAGTTAAAGCTCTGTGGACAGTTCACAGCCAGGGGAAACATGTTTTGAAACCTTCAACTATCAAGAGTTTAAAGCAATTTAAAAAACAAGTTAAAAAGAATTAATGATAAAGCTTCCAGTACCTGATAACAAGACCTAAGATATGCCACTGCATGCAGGGATAGAGGAAAGTCTTAACCCAGGGCCAAAAATACGACAGTGTTGGCATTAGATGGCCCTCACTGGAGAAAGAGAACTTTCCACACAGAGACATTCCATGGGCAAGAGGTCACCTCTCTGAAGGCCCAACGGCCTCAGGTATTGATCACAGTGTACTATTAGATTCATATGGGGAGACACATTCCATCAGGCATTGCAGTCCTGAGTCCAGTTTGGTTTTATAGGCTGAGGCTGATACCTTGAACTGAGCTGGAAATGTGCAAGCAGCCCATACAATCATGCTGAAATCAACGTCATATGCACTGATCTTCTGGTTACAGTTTCCAATCTGGGCACCACACTTTGTGCAAGTCACAGTTTCAGAACCTTCTTCAAGGGAAGTCCCACATAAAGCACACTTGCCCTTCTCCTCCCTCCCTCCATCATCTGGAAAGCGTTCGTGCGGTTACCTTCTTGTGGGGATGGGAATCCGTATAAAAGCTTTGTATCTTAGCAGTTCTCTGTGGAGCTCTTGAAAGTGCTTGAATTTCCTTTTCACTTGCCATGTAAATTCCCCATGGGTCAACTCAATGGTATAAACGTGTGAAGAAGGTACCTTCAGGAAGGAGGAAAAAGGACATCAACACCTCAAAGGAGCTGCAGTTGAGAACCCAGACTCTTCTATTCTTTCTGTGTTTAATAATTGTAACAACCTTGCTGCCTTCTCAAATAAATCCTGTAGGTCAGTTAATTAACATACTAAAATACAAATTACAGCCTTCTAATACAGGTAGCATTTCAGCATATTTAATGAAGGCATGGTTTTCACCTAAGTAAGCAGCACAGAAAAAGAGCACATTGTGTGGAAAATAATAGAAAATTGATTTCCCAAATTAAGAAATGCATGAAGACATTTTTACTACCACCACATAAACACACTATTCCCAGGAGCAAAGTGCTCGTTTAAGTGAAAGAGGAAGCTACCAGCTGTCTAGAAGTGATACAGTCTCTCAAGGATTGACCTTGGAACTGGGAGATGCAATTCCAATTGTATCTGTCTCTGAGAAGCAGCTGTTTAATTGGTGGCATTTTCATACTCTCATTTTAGGACGGTTCAGAGACCATCCTCTGCCAGAGACTTTTGGGGGCATCCTCCTATCAAAGAACACCTGGAGAAGGCAATATAGGAGGTCTAGGGGCCATTTTAGCCTATCAAACTCCATTCTCATAGGATGCTTATCATGGGACACCCCCTATGAAAGAGAAAAAAAAGTCTGAAATTGACAATTTGATGCTCAGATTTGGCAGCAACCACTCCATGGTGCTACAGAGTAGAACTGTTGTTAAATTTAGCCAAATCTGGCCATTTTGGTTTTCAATGCCAATTACCATCATCTTTACACATGTACATTTGGGGTGCAGATGGGTATGCAGCAGGAGCACTGGGGTCCATGTGAAGCTGCATGCTGCTTCCCTTGGAAATGGATCCATTTCCAAGGATCCAATGGATCATGGGTCCATTTGTTCTGTGCCAAATGGACCCATGATCTGATCCATTAAAACAGGGAAGGGGAATGTGTGGCCACGCAGTGTTGCTGGACTGCACTCCCATCATCCTAGCCAGCACAACTAATGTGGGAATTGCAGGCCAACAACATCTGGAGGACTGTTCCCCATCCCATTACTAGGCCAAAGAATAAAAATCCTTTAAAGCCTTCAGGCCCTATAGAGATCCTAATGAATAGCTGATATGTTTATTCGCCTCTAAAGATGGAGTAGAAATGACCTCTTGTTTGACACACCCTCTTTTTTGGATCATGTTCAAAGGCTTTTAAACGTAATATTTTATTCTGTTTTTTGAAGCTATGACATGTAATTTCCTAATTTTGTTTTGGAGCATAAATAAAGCCTAAACTTACTGAAGAAATAGGGACATATCACAAAAAGACTGGATACATAAAAGAGTGCTACACTCGTGAACAAGATCTGACCTTTGTAGAAGAGGTAAAACGTTCCACTTCCAGAACGTGCACTCGGATTGGACACCCGGTTAGGTAGAGCTGTAAGTGAGCCTCTTTAAATCCTTTAGTGTTATAAATGGTGGAGAATGGAATGGCCACTGCAAATGATGAGATGTTCGAGTTTAGTACCAGACTCTTTAAGGGCGCAATCATATATGCATGTTTAGACAAAAAGAAGAACCTTCAACTCCCAGCAAGATTACTCCTTAAATGAGTTTTAAAGTGCAATTCAGAAGATGGCAGGGAAATAGTTAATGCGAGAGTAGTTAAATGAGTTACCAAGACATTGCAACATATAATGGATTTTCTTAATCAAGCACTCCCATGTGTTTAACAGCCCTCTCCAAATAAACGATGCCTCCTAGTTAATTGAATTTGCTGCATCCCCTTTAAATAGGAAGCTCATTGTCAAGTTATTAAAAACAATAGGTGGCAAACAGAAATTGTCAGTACAATACACATCCACACACACCCAAACAAGCAGGCAAGCCATACGATAAATACGTTCACTAATCAAATGAACGTTAATCATACCATTAACCCAATATAAAAGAGGGTAAAACCACACGAACAGAAACAATGCAGCGTATTAAATACCAACCCACTCTCTCACACACACCCTGAAAGGATGAAATTTTGATACTTCATCAGATACCCAGGTGAGAAGAGGCCAAATTAAATTCTTAGGCAATTCCAAGGCTAACACAGCACTGTTCTGAATACCTTTTGAAGAAAGGGACAACACAGAACGGGATCATCAGCTGATGACCAAAGAGTGAGGCAAGTCGAGCTTATATGTTCAAAAATTTGCAGGTTGGGATGATAGAGCATAACATAAGCATCTTCCCTGTCATACTGCTATTCTTTCTGCAAAGGGGTTTTCCTTCAGTAATTATTACACCCTGCGGGTACAGTAATTCTTTTCTACAAACAAGTACCAGTTTCAACCCAAAGAGGTCCAAAAAACTGAGAGCAAGTTGATGAAGCTAATTCTGAGCCCATTCTTCCATTCACACATCCAATGCATCCTAGTTCTCTGACACAAATTTAGCAACACAACTGAGTAGTGAGTAAATGAACACTTTGCCTGTTAAAGAAAATACACTTCACAATATTTACAATGGCAGATCTGTTTAAAACCAAGGCAGCACGACAAACAACTGCACTATGGACCACTTAATGAAAATGTTTGGTTTATTTATTGTGTTAGAGAAACCAAACCAGTTGATGTCCCTGCCCCCATAATTGTTGAGGAACTTGTGCATTGTGAGTCTCTTGGAAACAAGTGGAAATTCAGTGGCAGGGAAAAAAGAAAAGCAAAAGTCATTTCGTCTATGTTTGAGATATTTGTTCATATTTAATTCACGTAGGCAGTTCTAATCTCATGAACTGAAGAATGGGGGGAAAGCAGTAATTTTATAAGCATAGTATAAAGGAGACAGCTTGGTAAAGTAGAAACACAGAATGATGAATGTCTCCTAATTCAATATTTTTAAACGAAGAATTACTATTTACTTATAGTGCATGTTAGGTTTTGTGTATAAAATCTAAGAGCCAGGACTGAGTACATGGCCAAAGATTTTGCTCAACAGCAGAGATCCAAAATGATACACCACGGACTGGGGCAAGGGGCCCTACAAAGCGGCATCCCATTAGGGGTAAGAGGCTGTAGCCAGACAGAAAAATTGGCCATGCTGCTCCCTACATGCACAAAAGATGAAGAAAAATGCTTTGCATGCAGTCATGCAGTGAGATCATTTTAGACCCTGCTGGGGGTCCATCTCAGAGACAGGCACTGTTAGCTGCTTGCAAAGAGCCTGTGATCCAGTAGGGCCCACTGACCCCTGGAGGGGCTTTTCCCCTTCACCATGGCAACTTGCTTGTTCACCCACCTCTCCTCCAAGCTTAGCCAATGGTCTAGTAGATGCCACTGCCTTTCTGTTCACTGGATTTCTGCTTATCAAGCAAGCAAGTGGTGCCAATGATGAGAAAGAGGGTGAGAAGCAATGGGAACTGGTCACCAAGGCTGTGAGAAGGTGACCTCTCTGAGCTGGCACTTGGACTGTCTTGTCCAAGGCCCTAAAAATCTGGAGCTGATATTGGATTCTGAACTTTATTGTCTTTCAACAATAAAGATTCTAATGGCAGGAGATTCTAATGTGCTTGTATCGCGTCAACGTGCGTTAACCTAGTCCAGCATTTGGTACGTTCCTGCTGAGTCCAGCCCTGACAGAAACACTGTGTGCACATTCTGGATCTCAGCGCAATTTGGTATTGGATGCAAAATTCAGCATTCCATTTTTTTAAAAGCAGGAAGTCTGGAGCTTGGAAGGGTAGCAATGAAGGACCTAGAAAGCATCATCAGGTGTAAGGATGTTTCACTGGAGATGAAGGGCAAGGTCATCTAAACCATTGTGTTTCTGATCACTGTGTCTGGGTATGAAAGCTCAACAGCGAAGCACGTTGACAGAAGGAAAATTGATGCATTGGAAGCATTGTGCTGGAGGAGAGCTTTGCTGGACTGACAGAACGGGAAACAAGTGGGCCCCAGATCAAATCAGGCCAAAACTTGCCCTGGAAGCAAAATTGACAAAACGGAGGCTGTTGAACTTCAGGCGCATCATGAAGATGCAGGACTCACTGGAGAAGACAATAATGCTAGGGAAATTCAAAGAAAGAACAAGAAGCAGAAGATCAACTATGAGTGGATTAATTCCATACAGGAAGCCACAGCCTGGAGTTTGCAAGAGCTGAGCAGGGCTGTCAGCGACAGTACATTTTGTAGAGCATTCGCGCACAAGATTGCCCGAAGTCAAGACAACTTGACAGCATGTTACAAATATGAAATACCAGTGCCTTGAAAGAATGAACCTAATAAAATCTTAGATATTGGATGGAACAGTGCTCAGAGAGCCCTAACAGGGCTATAGGTACAGTCTATATTTTTTTAAAGATTAAATATAAACACTGCACAATATTCCTAGTGCTTTTGGCGCAAGAGCTGCGTGCCTGGCCTAGCTGTTTGTTCTTTCCCATGGTGATCACAACCAAAATGGATTTGGCTGCGAGCGTTGTAAAAGATGCAAATATGATAAAGGATTTAAATGAAAGCATCCTTTCAAGTAATATATGACTTGCTTTAGCTTTTGGCAGGAAATGGTGGGAGGAGGACTGCTGCAATGACTGGGGATTCATCCGATGGCAACGCTTTTGCAGTTCGCGGGCCAAATTGCATTTTCAGAGACGATCTTAATGGACTCATTTAAGAGGTGGGCAGAGCCAGGGCAAAGGGGACAAGGGCAAAATACCACCATCTTTTGGCTTTAGGATGGGAAAACCTGCACAGAAGCTTGGAACGCACCAATCTATAGGCAATTGGGGTGAAGGGATATGGAGAGGGAAAGGCAGTAGGGACCATAGGCACTTGAGGTAAAGGATATGGACCCTGTAAGGCTAGATTTATACCACAGATTTGAGGATTCCCACCCCTGTTGTACAGGTAAATACAAGGGATAGGAGGACCTGGGATGTTTGAGCTTGCCACAATTCTCCAACGTTCACTTTGAAGCTTGGTTCAGCTCACTGCCATTTCATTTTCATTTTGATTTCATTTGAATAAAGAAAGTGTGTTTTGAATGGAAACATGCACATCTTTGTTCACATTTCTCAAAAGTCTGCCCCTTGATAAAAACATGAAGCAATGCATATCCCAAAGCATGCACTTAAGAGAGCGAGCGAGCAAGCAAGCTTGCTTTTAAAAATGTAATCACAAGTTTGGAAATGTAGCATATTCACATTTGGGGTTGTGAACAGGCCGTGTATAGATGATTTGTGAACTGAAATGAATTTTTTGTGCCTCTCTAGGAAATGGCAACCATAGTTGATGGTCAAGAAGTCTTACATAACCTATTCCTCAGAAATTTTATGATATTTCCTTGCAGATCACCCATAATTTTATTGTTCTTCTCCTATCATCAGGACTATTACTGACTTTTGCGATTCTGAAGAAGCCAAATTCTGCCACTGATCCCTTATCTGACTCATGACTCACTGACTCACCAGGTGTTTTGGGCTCATGCAGCATGTCCGTGTCCACCTCCTCCCCTTCAAAGTGGAGCTCCCTTGTGTCCAGGCTTTCGATTATGTTGCTCATGTCGGCTGCTATTTTCCTCAGCGTAGAGATGTTCACTTTCTTTTCATTACTCAGAGACATCGTGAATGTGTGCACTCACCCACCAGGGGCTGTTGGAGGGAAGAAAAGAAGGTGTCATGTTACTACAACACCAAAGAGCCATCAAAACCCTCATTTGGCCAAAGGCTCAGTCAGCCTGGCGCAAGGACCGTGGTGCAGCGGTGTCAGGGATCCCAGGGATGATGAGCCAGGACTTTTTGATTAGTACAAATGCTGTGTCTTCTGCCACCCATGGTCCTTCTAAGCTTAAGTGCAGTCCTCACAGTAGCTGGAGGTTTATTCCTGTTGCCACGGAAAGCACTTTGGGTTCTCTTGGTCTTGCATGGGCAATCCAGCAGCCCTCAACAGGCCTTCTCATATCAGCCTTGGACATTTTTGCACCAGATATTAAAACTCAAATATCTTCCTTTTCCAGTCTTCCCAGCCACTGGGTCAGAAATATGGGAGCTGCAATGCAACACATCTGATATGCACTCAGTAGGGGAAGCCTGTCCTGCTTCATAATGGATGTCAATCTTTTATTTTTTTAATAAGACAAGAGGGCAGGAAAACGGATTGCCCTCTGGAATACACTGCCCAAAGTAACGGATCCATTTTCAAAAAATAAATCACTTCTCCCATTATCTCTTTTCTCCCCTCCTCCCATCAAGCTGGTTGAAGCTATTTAAAATGCAAAATCCTCTGCTTTGTATAAATGTTTAATATATGAAGCACTCTGTCCACTCTGGAGCATGCATTTCTGTAGTGTAAGGGATGCATTCCTTTAAAATATTCAGAATGGCAGGTCAAGCATGAAGTGATACCCTGAAACTCAAAACTTATGTCTTGAGAAGGGCCAGGCTTTTCTCTGCTTAATCTGTATGCATCTACAATTCAGCAGTGGCATAGCAGTAAACTCCGGATACAGGCTGTTTTCCTAACATCCCATACTGATGCCCTAAAACATTAGGTTGCTATGTTAAGTCATATCGACAAACCAGTTGCGGCAGTTCTTACCCTCCAAAGCAAAAAAAATTTTTGGGGGACGGGCAAAGCTAATGGGTGTTTGTTGTCCATATAAGATCAAGCCCGGGCTCCTTGCATTACAGCCAGGAACAAGTCATTGTTCCTGCACAAATTCATTCCTGCACCCTTACTGTGGGGATACACAGAGGGAACAAGAACTACTTGAGAGGGGTGGGGTGGCAGATGATGTGTGTAAAAGCAAAAATGAGCAAAAGTCACACATCTGAGTCATATCTGACTCTCGTATTTGCCGGGCTGTTTTCCCTCAGACTGGCCGGCAACCTGTTTTTCTTGTTCCACTGTCCTCGCTTGAGTCACGTGGGTGTCTTTCCTTACAGTTACACCTTGTCTGAATGCAGGGCCATCTGCAGCAGGAGGCTGTTTGCTCCTTCTCTGCTCGAGACGCACGCAGTGCAGTGCAACATGCAGCCCTCGGTGAAGCCCCAGGATTCTTTCCTATACTCTGTCTTCGCATTTTTCTAAGAATTGACTGAAAATAACAACAGGGACTTGTTTACTTTTAAACACTAATAAATGGCATGAGCCTTTGTGGACACTGTCTACAACAGTCATCTTTAAGGTGTCATAAGTGTCTTTGTTTTTGCCGCAACAGATCAAGATGGTAACTTGTCCAGATATGGTTGCAAAGGTAATTTTGGAAATAAAATAGCAGTAACAGGTGGAAAAGCCTCTAATGCTTTACTACAGAGCAGCAAGTAGCATAAGAAGTCTACCTGAGCAGCAGAACAAAAACAAAGTAACAACTTTTCTCTGCACCCCAATCCCCACAGCCATTGCTCATAGCAGTTAGTCCAAGAGTTTTATCAAACTCTTGCTGTGTATGTCAAAAATTCAAAAGATGCTTCCTACTTGTTGGCCAATGGTATTTGAATAATGGTCCATCACCACCCATTCACCACCTCTCATTTCCCAGGCAGCAGGAAGTCTCATATGGATTTGTCTGATGCTGAAGTTTGGAGAGGGGAGCACATTGGAAGCCTTTCCCACGATGTAGAAAGACTAACTATGATACACTCATTTACACTGAAATGTCTTGCTGCTGTGCTAATGTTATGTACATTCCAAGAAAAGAAACAGACAAATGGGCAGCTAATTATATTAATCAGCTTTGCATTTCCTATTTATGACAGGCTTGGAAAATATTTTGTGCAGCACATCTTTGATTTGGGTAGCAAAAATAAAATATTTGCTTAATTCTATATACAAAAGTGCTCTTTCTCAGAGGACATCCCTTTGTAGTCAAAACAGTACCACCACCGACGCAGAAAAGGAAGGGAATGGCATATCTGGGGGAACCCACAGGTTCTGCAGAAGCCAAAGAATCTTACGAGAGCGGTAGGGAGGGATAGGGAGGCCAAAACAACTCACTGAAAATTAAATAGGCTCAGTGAACATGGGATGGAAAAGCAAGAGGAGCAAACAGAATAGAGCATCCTGAAAGATGCCATGCTCGAAACCCTGCACATTCCACACGGCAACTCTTTGCTCTAAGTCCCACTCGGGTAGAATGCAAAAGCTTGGTTGAACAGAGCAATACTATGAATTACACTCAGGGCACATGGGAACAAAGGTGTGACACATCCACTGAATAATTCAATGAAGCAATATCCTGCTTCCAAACAATAGCTCATCTCAGGAGCATTCTCATGAAATCTCACAATGGGGTGTGCGCAACTAAATTGCTTCACTTATCTAAACATTTTGACCTTTCTCCCTTGTGCTAAGTCCAGAAGTTGCTTAGGTGACATGCTAAGCCCGTGTGGTGTGTTGGTTAGAGTGTTGAACTGGGAGCCCAGGAGATGCAGGTTCTAGTCCCCTCTGAGTCCTGAAACTCAGGGGATGATGTTGGGCCAGTCACTCACTCTAAGCCTAACCTACTTCATGGGGTTGCTGCTGTGAGGATAGAATGGAGAGTTCGAGAAACCTGTAAGCCACCTTGGGTTTCCCACAGGTGGAAAAAGGGCAGAATATAATAGTAATGTGATGCTAGCCCTTTGTGTATAAAACTGATTGCCTACAAAAGATTATTTGCTAAGCATTCAAGGTTGACCAAAATTTTTCTGTATGGCTTCTCTTCTAGATGAGTTTTCTCTTCTTTATGGTAGACATAAAGCCTGAAGTGTGTCCTATTCTGGCAAGATTTGCATGAATTAAGTTTGGCTCTGTACCTATTAGGCAGCAATCTTAAACACACTGGAGACTAACTCTTAATAAATTGAGCTGGAGTTATTTCTGAGCAAAGGTATTACTACACTGTTAAAAAGGGATACTTTTCTTCATGTTACCTTTTATCTCTCTGGGAAGAGTTCACACATTATGATTATGAAAGATGACTTCAGGGATGTGCTAGCCATGACCCAATCCCAATGAGACAGCTCCTCTTCAGCCCAAGAAAGGGCACTGACACTCTGAGAAAGAGGAAAATTATCCTTTACAGAGAAGGTAGACTTGGTGAAGGAGACATCCCATTGAAGGAGTCTTGTCCAAGGGTCTTCAAAAACATGACATGATAAAATGATGTGTCAGCACCAATGGCATGGGGAAACATGATCATGGAGTCCTGGAAGCCAAATAAATGTAGGGAGTGAAGTTGAAATCCAGCACCTCTGTAGTAGTTTTCTCTGAAATGTTACCTGTTCTACATGCTGGACCAACTGGATGAGCAAAACTGAAGGGTCTCAATGAGTACAAGATGAGATGGAGTGTGACAGAGATCAGGTACTCAGATTTCTTAGGCACCAAGGAACTTTTCAGGACAAACCAAGCACACACAAAAGCCATAGACTCTACTGAAACCTGTTTGCTCAGACTTAGCTGAACCCTAAGGGAAAGCCGACAGGAGTTAGGGGGCCTTGGGTTTAGCTTGAATCATGCCTTGAGGAAGCAGAAAATGTGTATGATTGCTCAAATGGAAATAAGTCACAAGCATATAATGACACATGGCAGCTAGTCAAAGAGGACAAAGACCACAGGGGGAAATGCACATGCCAGAGACATCTGGAGAATGCCACCATATATAGGTGTTCTCCACTAGACACTCAAAACCAATAACAGATGGGGTGGGGTGCTTAGTTTAAAGGGCAAACACAGAAACAGTGTGATATTGTTATTACTGGATATAAAGAGTACAGGGAATGGTGTACCCAAGGTGGGGTTGATCTGTACTTCAAAGATAATATAGAGACAAATGAATGAAAAACTATGGAATCATTGTGGATAAGAATACCGCGCCCCAAAGTAATTTAGTACTAAGAACATGTTCCTGTCCCAAAATGTTCAGGATGACTTTCTACTGCAGAACAAAAAAGGGGTGGCATCCCAAAGAGTGGGAGTTGTAGCAATGGGAGGCTTTAACTAACTGTACATTAAAAAAATAAATGAGTGTTCTGCTTTTGTCAAAGAAGTTCTCAAAGTAACTGTGGATGGAAAGTTGATCTCCAAATACTATGGACTGTGACATCTAAAAGTCCCTGCTAGCATAACTAATGGTCAGGGATGCTGGTAGTTCAAGTCCCAAACTTCTGGAGATTTACTTTGGGTCAGCTACTTCCCTAAATGACTGTACCCTACTGGGTTGGTCATGGAACTCACCAAAGGGGAGACAAACCTGAACATAACCCATAACCCAAAGTGATGGTCTGGATGGCCTACTGTGAGTTCAATTACCATAGTGCTTTGTTAGTGTTGCTACGTGTCATCTCTGACTTATGGCAACCCTACAAATGAACGGTCTCCAAAATGTCCTGTCCTTGACAACCCTGCTCAGCTCTTCTAAACCCAAGGCTATGGCTTCCTTTATGAAACTGACTCATCTCATAGTTGCCTTTTGCCTTCAACTTTCCCTAGCATTACTGTCTTCTCCAGCAAATCTTGTTTTCTGAAATGTAGCAGAAGTGATAACCTCTCTGCTGCCTCTCCAGAGAGGTTCCCCTGGCGCCAACGTTATATGCTCTTTGGCGCGAGGTCAAGACCTTTGTATTTTTCTGTAATTTTAATGCTTAATATTTTTACTATGTTTTATGCT